AATTTTAAGTATTCCGTAAGAGTATTAAGTATTACTCAAATTGTTTCTTAAATCAAGTTATTATAAATCAATTGTGAAGATTGAGTTAAGATTAAGAATTTTCTATCAAATGAAGTAATGATTTAATAGTAAAATTTGTGAAATGCTGTTTACAATAATAGCTATAAAATATTAAACGAGAAAATAATGCTGTTTACATAAAATAATGAGCTATTAATCAAGATAACAAAAGTTTCTTAAAGTGGACTTCAATTGCTGTGTTTGAATATGTGTTAATTTTCTCAATTCATTAGATTATAATTTAATTTCATACAAATCTCTTGTAAAGAATTATAACAAAAAGTGATAATATTTTTTAATAATTGAAAATTACTTAAGTAATATTACAACAAAAATGAATGTGAATACTATTAAAATATAATAAACAAATTTATTTGTTGTAGTTATTCACATAATATATTTTGCATTCATTTCAATGAATACAACAAGAATATAGAGCCGGTTAAATTGCTTAATCGAGTCAACCGTACAGTATATGTGAATTCAATAACTCTGTTGTAGTGTTTGTGAAAATAAGGCAACGTTTAGATAGGGATACAGAAGATTGAGATTAATTGAAGACAATAATTGAGTTTTATGGCTCTATTATACACCATATTGACTACATTCACTTTATTTACTACACACATTTTGCTTGAATCTCTGAATATCGGTTTTAAATTAAATTTTAAATTTTCTTTATCGTTAAACCATGTTTCCCTAATGCTATGGCATTTTGATTAAGTTTTGCTAGTTTTTGTGAATTAAATGAAATATATAAATATTACAATAAGTATTGATAGCAGCAATCAATAATATTGTGAAAGTATTATATATCAGTTATACGGTATGTAGACATAGAATATACAGATAAGAGATGTGCATAACCTTATGGTTATTGAGTTAAACAAATTTCGATATATTCTTAGCTAGAGAATTAAACGAATGAGAGACTATGGAAATGTATTAAATGATATAAAATAATGTTTATATCGATTTTAAACTCCAGAATAAGAACATCTCATGCTTTTAGTCGATATACAGATTTACAATACATAAGAATTACCAGGTTTTCCATTCAATGCAAGGGTGGGGTCAGTGAACTCATTCAAGGGTTAACCATACAATCAATACTATTTTATTAAATAACTATTAAAATACGAATCAATTGAGCAGAAATGTGAATATTTGTCATATTTGCGTAAACATTGCATTTGAAATAGTGATGAATGAGATGAAGACTCGGAGTGTGCCCTGAGCTGGCATTCCCTGTGAACGCAAACATACCTACAATACAATGCTCTACATTAGGAATTGTGTTGTGTTTACAGTTAAGTTGTAACACATATTTCGCAGCATTTTACAAATATTTAAACGATTGTCCGCTTAACTCACTTCTCAATCAATAAATAAACAAAATACAAATTCCCACAATTTGCACATATTAATACACAATTTTCTCAATTGCTTAATCCAATAAATAAATATTCAAATCGAGATAATTTTATTTGTTTTCAATTCTTCTTAAGTGTAGTGTCAGTCGCTATGGTTTAAAATATTGGGAACAATCATATAAAAAGACATCGATTATAGATGTCTATTTGCAAATACTTTGTCTATAAAGATATGCACAAAAAAATGTTTTTGCGGCAAATATACAATAAAAGTTTACAATAAATACACAATTTCTTGTTATACAACAGATATACAATATTACAGTTACAGTGATACAGTATATATTGTGGTGTATATTGGGATTTGATAAGCGATAACATTGTATGACTAAAAGCAAAAACTAATTGAAAGCAATGGAAGTGCTATTAATTAATTATTAATTGTTATATTAATAGTTAAAAAGGCATTAAATTGGAGTGAAAAACATTCCGCGGATTCCTTACGGAAAATACTTATTTGATTTACTATTGAATGCCAGAATTGAGACCTAATTATCTATAAATATCACATTTCATTCATATGGCAAACACTTTCCAGAAATATCACTATAATTAATGTCAAAATCTATTATAAATTATTTTATGACCATATTATTGAAAGCAAATTAAAATAAATCTTGTTTAAACATATAAATAACAAAGTCTTGAATCAATATTTTACGAGCAATTATACAGTATTATTGATTATTAGATTTTATATCAATTAAACACTTAACGACTGCTAAGATTATGGATGCTAAGTAAATTCAACATTTATCATTTATGCAATGGACACTGAACACTGAATGTACTATGCCACTAAAATAGCCTGGTCATATTGGGGACATGAGTGGACATTTGGTGACCCCATTGTATGAAATATATGTTCACATAAATGGCAACAAAATGTCAAACGGTTGGTCACATGTATGACAACTGGATTGCCATTAGATTGCATTGGTGTTAGTAAGTGGTTAGTGGTTGGCGCGGGTGTGGGAGTGGGAAGGGGTGATGAGGTGGTGATAATGTAGTGGTAATACCTGATTGGGTTGAGAGTGTGGGACGAGTGTCCATTGGAAGTGTTGCGATGGCAGTGATGGGTCGGTGTCAACGACGAGGACGTGTTGAGGTCGTCGTAGGGATCGACTGAATCTCATACAAGTGGTGTACGGAATCATGGCTATAGTGACAATAACCTTGGTGAGTTTGGTTAATAGTTAAATTCATGTCTTTCACACATAATATAGCGATAGTTTCATGAACTCATGGACTAATAGTCAACACTGCACATATGATGAGCACTGGTATGATAGCACTGGTATGATAGCACTGGTAGGATAGCACTGATAGCAATGATTTCGTGATAAGTGAAACACTTATTACAATACTCTGTGTTGAATGGAAAGGCATCGTGCGGGGTCGTTGCCCTCAACCCATACAACCGTCGACAGCACTGGCACTTCGGCCATACTCTCACACTATCTCAATGCAAATGACTCGCAATTACTGTTTGGAGTAATGCATTGAATCCTATACTCAATCTAAACCATAGCTCAATACAACACAACTCAATGAAAGCACTCAATATTCAGCTCTACTCTCATGTTATGCAATGAATGGCATAACAGCATAGACTCTAATGCTGTGCTAACGTTCACCCAATACTACATCACAAACACTACTCTCAGGCTTCCTATTGCTATGTATGCTATGCTATGCCATAGTAGGCTATGCCATAGTAGGCTATGCTAGTGCTCTCTGTCAGTCCTATGCACACTGTTTCTGCACATCTAGATTCTAGACTACCAGTGCTGTGACAATCTCTAAGTTGGCAAAGTTGGCAGACCTGCTTACCACTCAGTCTGACCACTCATGTCATGCAAATCCGGGACAGTAGTCACGAAAGGCGTCATAAGGCGTTCAATCGCTTACATAAACTACACATCAATTACATTACATGAACCCATTTCATAGTTATGTACATTCATTGCATTCATTGCTATTGATTTTACATTCATGACAATTCTAACCATTTCCATACATTCTCATACATTATGTTATTATATAATCCATGTAAATATTTATTGTCAAATAACTGTTCATGGTGAATCGAGTACACAAACTCAAAAATATTATGCCTATTATTATTACAACAGATTTGGATAGTATGTGGAATAGAGTACTGAATATAACAATTATAATAAGTTACTCTACAATACTGCACAACATTAGACTACAAATGCAATTCTGTGTTATCATTATTTAATCACATGAACCATACGTCTAGATTTGCTCCACTTATCAAACTTAAGCTCATTTTTCATCCCATTCCACATATTCTAACATCAATTCATTTTTAATTCACAATTAATTGTGTTTATAAAAACAGATTCTTAATCGCTTTGAGTTTTAATAATGTATAAAAAGTATTTGAAATAAATATTCTTTGCTTTCATTCTGCAAAACAAATCAGTCTTATATTTGTAAGGATTCATTAAAACTTTAAATATTTGTAAATATTAATTGTTGTAATTTTATATAAATAAGAAGTTAAGAATAAGAATACAAATACAGTACATTGTATAGTATAATATTATTATATCAGTTATTATAAGTTTGATTTGTCTGTATAAGTCAAAAATAAACTAACTTAATAAAAACACAAACACTGTATACAGTAGTAAAGAATCAATGGTTTAATGTATTAATGAATTATTGATAAGACATTGGTTTGTAATGAGTTCAAGAATTCAGTAAATACTAATTGACAGGTTATTGAATTGTGATTTGTCATTAGATTAAAAATAATATTATGGGACATAATAATGTATACGTAAGCAACTTCAATAGCTATCTGTATCAAATTGAGTAAATGATTGCACATATAATGTATAACTTCTAACCAATGATTTTCCAATTCATGCCAAATTTGTAATTAATAATCAATTCAAACCATTGGATACTAGTACAGTATTACTGCTTAACCAATTTATAATAGTCTACATTTTAGACTCTAAACATGATCATAATTAGTGCTAACAAAAATAGTTAATTGAAATGAACTACTAAAACAAAAATATCTCAAATGTTTCAACATTTTACAGTTAAAAGCTTTTTATTCTGTTTATTCTGCTTTTAGCAATATTACAAAATTCTGCTCTATAATCATACAAACAATAGTGTAGTTAAAAATATTGTATGAAGAATAGCACAGATTAGACTATATAATGAAATAGAGTCAAAACAAATTAAACCATTTCTTAATCAAAGTTGTATTCAATTTATAAAACCAAAGAGTTGTGACATTTAAAGGAATCTATGGATTAGTCTATTGTTAGCCAAAGGGTTAGCAGAGTCTCAACAAACAGTGAGTGTTGTTGTGAGCATTGCATTGCTCTCACAGTTTGCCTCAAAACACGTGCTTTTGTTTGCATTCACTGTCTGTGCGTTTGGTTTGCAATGAATTGCATGTGATTAGCAGAGTCTCAACAAACAGTGAGTGTTGTTGTGAGCATTGCATTGCTCTCACAGTTTGCCTCAAAACACGTGCTTTTGTTTGCATTCACTGTCTGTGCGTTTGGTTTGCAATGAATTGCATGTGATTTTCATAATAACTCTCAAGATGTCTAATGTCCACAAATCTATTCAATGGAAATCTGTTGCCATCGAATCAAACGATGGATTCACTGACAAAGACTTCGATGGATTGGTTGCCTTCGAGGAGTTGAGTGATTACTGCATCCAAAAGAGTGACATTAGTGTCAAAACTGATCCCAAGACGAAGAAGAAGTGCAAAAGTAAAAAGTCAAACACCAATCAAAAGAGTGAGAATGAGATACAAGTGTCTGAAGCGATGGATAATTCAGATTGCGATGAGACTCGCGAAGTGTCGATGCATTTGTGGCAAAACCTGTGCATTGCTTCACCCATATTGCGATCATTGAGTGAATTATCGTTTTCAAGACCAACTCCAATACAATCGAAATCCATTAGAGTTGCCATCGAAGACAAGTTGGATATATTGGGCGCCGCGCAGACTGGAAGTGGTAAGACATTAGCGTTTGGCATACCATTAGTCACACACATCATGAATGACAAGTCAGAGGATGGCGTCTGTAAACTGCGGGCTCTGGTATTGACGCCAACGCGTGAGTTAGCCATTCAGGTGAAGAAGCACTTGGAGGCCATCACTAAATACTGTGGAGTGTCTGTGGGGGTAATAGTGGGCGGAATGTCTGTACAGAAACAGGAGAGGATTCTGAAGAAAGTGAGACCCGATATAATGGTCGCCACTCCGGGCAGACTTTGGGAACTCATTGAACAACAGTCGAGCGATCACTTGACCAGAGAATCGGTGACTCGTATTAAGTACTTAGTCATCGATGAAGCCGACAGAATGGCAGAGAGGGGACACTTCAAAGACTTGGTGCAACTCATGGATCTGTTGCGAGTGAAGAGCACCGGGAGACAAACTTTTGTGTTCTCCGCAACTCTTACTCTCACTTATTCTCTTCCAAATCGATTGAAAATGAAGAACAAAAACAAAGCAAATAAATTGAATGGAAAGCAAAAGTTAGCAAAATTTGTTGAGTTCTTTGGAATGAGATCCGATGCCATGGAAGTGATTGACTTGACTGAACAGGGCGTCGGTATACCTGAGAGCAAACAGTTGACTGAATGCAAAATCAATTGTATGGCAGAAGAGAAAGACTTGTATTTGTATTACTTTTTAAGTCTATTCAAAGGCCGAACTCTGGTCTTCTGCAACAGCAAAGACTGTTTGAGACGTGTTGTGAATGTCTTAAAAATACTAGACTTAAAACCACTTCCATTGCACTCATCGATGCCTCAGAAGAGAAGATTAGCTAATTTGGAGAAATTTGAAGCTAATTCAGAGTCATTGCTGATCGCTAGCGATGTGGCCGCTCGTGGGCTTGACATCACTCATGTTGATCATGTGGTTCACTATCAGATCCCGAGGACAGCCGAGATATATGTGCACAGAAGTGGACGAACGGCTCGTGCCTTCAATACGGGTCTGAGTTTAATGCTTTGCGAGCCTAAAGAAGAGGCCAATTATTACAAAGAATTGTCTAAAACGATACACAAAGGAAACCGTTTACAAGACTTTCCAATCGATAAATCGGTTCTGAAGGCACTGAAGCAACGGATTGATTTGGCGCAGAAGTGCGACCAATTGGACCATAAGATCAGGAAAGAGAGATCGCGCGAGGATTGGTTCCGCGTGAACGCCAAGAAGTGTGAGATTTTGAGCGATACTGAGTCGGAATCGGATGACGCGGAAGAGAGTTCTAAAGAAGTCCGAAGATTTAAAGCGATGAAAAAACAGTTGCAATTTCTCCTCAAACAACCCGTTTCGCAGACTAAATCACTTTACGCTCACCTCTTGAAGAGTGGGTCAACAAATTGGATGCATTCTAAAGGTACAGTCAATTTTAGCGCTAATTCAATCTAATCATTAATGAAATGTGATTGCATTTTAGGCACAAAACGAGCCATAGATGTGGTTAAAGACAACAAATCAAAGAGAGTTAAAGTGAAAAAACTTAAATCTCAAGAACAGTAATCATGATAATAAATTTGTTTATTTTAATAATATGTTGATTTATAAATATTTGTTCAAAAAATACGTTTTTAACGGTAAATAAAATTGCCTGCTTTCGATGATATATTCCAGTGGTTGTCATCATCCAAGTCGTCCTCATCGGTGCGAATATAGCTCTCGTCATCAGTAGTGCTATAAAACGAGCCGCTCTTCGAGTTTTCACGAAATGATTTAATACTTATATTATTTTTGATCGGAAATACTTTAAATGCCTGTCATTTGGAAGCAATTATTTAATTATTTTTAAAATATTCATTCAATGAAACCAAATATAAAATCAAATGAACGATAGGAATGACATACCATTTAACGAAAATAATAATAATAACAAAACAAAACAACTTAAGAGAAGGCCACCGAAGCGGCCAATGCTTTGGATTTCTATAAATCGAAATAAAATATAAGAACTATTCTTTGTGTCAATTTGGGATCAATTCATTTCGGTACCAATTTTTGTTCCTCCAGTTCGATGTCCTTATCTGTGATTTCATTCTCTCTATTGCTGTTCATGTCATTGACGATCACTTTGTTATTGAACTCATTGACCAAATCCTCACTTTCTTCGTCAGAATGGAGTTCTTTGACGAGCGAAGACATGGCATTAGTGACAGAGTCGGCCGCAACCAACAGATCCCGATTCACTGTGGACACCGTCACACTACTCATATCACTCTGGATCGAGTCTGAAGTAGTTGTTGCCAAAGAGCCGCCAATCTTGCGGTTCAGTGTAGAGGCGGCCGATGCCGGAGCGCTGTTGGGAATGGCCAATAGGTTTCCGTGATTTTTCAATAACTTCATCAGTCCTTCCAATTGAACCATCAGTTGTCGACGACTGTCCTGCAGAGCACTTAAATGCGATTCCAGTTCTTCCTTGCGTTCTCTCAAAGCCGACAATTCAGTCAACAAAATGGGATCCATTTGTGTCGGACCGACGTTCGCATAATAACCACTTGATTTGATCCGCGAGTCTCGAGTATCATTCTCTTGTTTCTCGACTCTAAGTCTTTCTATTTCTTTCATAATCTCTCTGTTCTTCTCTTCCAATTGTGAGATAACTCTCTGTTGTTGTGAAATATCGTTCACAATATCGGAGCCATTGGTTGGCACTGAAGAGCTTTTTGAGAAGTTGGCCAAAGAGGCGGCATATCGTGCAATGAGTCGGTGCTCTTCGTCACCATTCTTTGAATCAGTCGTTGCCGTCGTATAGAGAGAAGGAGGCGATCGATATTTGCGACTTCCGTAGAGAGACTCCAAATCGGATGAAGTCGAGCGCATATCGGCGCCATTCATGTGATGGATGGAAGGGACGGGAGAGGGGGGGACGATATGACTCAGATTAAAGCGCTTGTCTTTCGGCGGTTCGTCGATATATTCGTGGAGTTGAGTCCGATTGGAAGGAATGCATCGAAAACTCTTCCGCAAAGAGTGTCCGATCTGTTTCGTCGGTGACTTCCAATACCCGTACTCTTTACACGCGTGAGTGTCGGCGTTGTGCTGACCAGACTGTCGACCCCTCCAGAAGCAGTCTTGACATAGATTATAGTTAAAACACTTTTGGCACTTATATCGGAACCCATTAAATGGCTGTCGATTACATGTACTGCAACTGATGGGATGGACGACGTTCTCCACTTCAGCCATTCGGTGGAGAATCACAATCCATGAAATACAAAGTGGAGGACTGTTTGTCGTTATGAAGACTGACATAAATGAATGCAAATCTATTGGTTGACTGAAGTCAAAGATCGTCGACGAGAGGCTGTCATCGTATTGAAAAGTAGTCGTTTCGGAGACACTGGCCGTCAATGCCATCGATTGGCGCAGAAATGCATTGAAATGACTCTCAATAAGAAGTCCTCGACTCGGGTCTGATATGAGTGAGAAAATGTACCGCAATTTGTCGATCAGTTTCCCCGAACACATCACTGCGAACCCAATCTTCAGCGCAAACACATTCAATTTGCCGCTACCGGTGCTGTGGTAACCATCATATCATTGTTACAATCAATTATACATAAAATAGTGACAAATATTCAAACGTACGGATCATATGTCATCAAAAGCCAACTGAACATGAGTTCAATGGATTGGTCCAAATTGAATGACAGAGACTGCGGAAGACGTTTTGAAAGTGAATAATACACTGAAGTGACCACTCCTTCCAACCGTTGCACTGATATCTCAGAAGATATGTCCTGAAAGTTATGCAAACCATTGTCTCTAATGGATTCGATGGCATTCCACAGGTCCACCAAATGGACTGAATTGGCAAAAGACATATCAGTTGTAAGACAATTGCAATACCATTGTTGACATGTCTGAAAGGAAAGACCGTATTGTCTGAACTCACAGTTAGTCTTGTGTTGAATGAACCGTAACTTTGATGCAGTTCTGTATGAACTAAAACGGATCACTTGGAAGTCGTGCTCGACTTAAGACAAAGGAGAAAATCACTATATTGTGGCCACAAATGAAGACAATGTTGTCTTAAGACTCACTCATTTCGGTGACCATCTGATCGTATTTGTCCGATAAGTAATGCATCTCTCGTCTCTCCATTCGTCACTTGAATTGATCCGACAATTATTGAGCCATTGTATTAACTAATTGATGACTAATTCAATGATTTGTCTGCAAATCAATTGATGGTAAATAAAAAACTTACAAATTGTCAGTAATATTGAGCCAAATATGGCATCAAATGTGAGATCTCTAGTGATTGGACGACACCTCTAGTCACTTGTGTTGATGTGATTTCTTGTGGCAAATAATCTGCAAATCGTTGCCTCCTTTGGACCTAAATCTGATTGTGTGGTCATTAGTGACACAATTAGTGGACACATAAGCCGAGGATATGTTGGCGCGAGTGGTCGGAAGGTATCAGAAATGTAAGCATTGATTGCATTGAGTGTTAACATGGAGTTAATGGATGTGTTTGTCGTACAGATGTGGATGTGCTTAGACAGGGCTGGCATGAAGTGCCGCATCTGTACGGCACGACTTGCATTGGCATCGCCGCCACCTTTGCCCTCATCTACCGCATAGCACATACACCTCCCGGCGGACACATCACCCGATTTAAGGAGAGATATATGGGTTAGTAGTGAGACGTTGACCATTGCACTCATGAGTGGTGACTAACTGTAAGCTTTTGTCTTGATTTATGTTGCAAGTGATGCGACCCGAAGACGACCGACTAATTGCTTATCCAAGAGATTATGTGACGGATAAGGATCTGCTGAAGTAGTAGTTAAGGATCTGCTGTTAATTGCTATACAATAACAATACATAGATTTGTCAATAGTGTCTAATTCAATAAATACTGTTATTACATGTAATTACTTTATAATTTAAACTTAATTCATTAGTACAATAAACTCTTTAAATGCAAACATTTATCAATTAAATAACTTAGTAATATAAATAATAAATAGAAAAATTAAAATTTTGTAAAACAATCACTTCAATACAGACTTTTACAAAGTTTCAAAATATTTAAAACATTGAGACATTTAATACCGAAATTAACATAATTTGGATTTAGAGTAGACTTAGATTCACTCATGACTTAGATATTTGTCCATTTAGGGAATATTTGGTTAAATGCAATCATAATTTGTGCTTAATTTGCAAATTTAGTTCAATTGGGAATGTATGCAAAATACTGCAAATGTTTATCTTATTGTCAATTCTTATACTGTGTTCCAGATCTTTAGATTTGATCAGAAGTTCATAATTTTTGAATTTCAAAGAGTTTCACATTCGTGTCGTACCAAATCGGGGGCTCAATGTTACGCAAGTATATCACTCCCCACATGTATGTACGAAACCAAAGGGTGGTGCCGGCGTTGGTCTGGTATTTCCTGATGAGTATGGGGTGCGGGACAGGCAGTAGTCCTACGAGAGTGCCGTGTTGTAAGAACTTGAGGATCTCATTCTCATCAGTGATTCCCTTATCGATACACATCTTCTCGACCTGAGGCACCAGAACCTGAGGATAGCATATAAGATAGTATTAGTACAGTATGTTTGGGCCTCAAGTTAGGTCTCAATACCTGAAGCATTCGCATAATGGTCTGCAACGGAAGCTTTTGTTTCCAAGAGTTTATCCATTCAGTAGATGGTGTCCATTGAGTTGTTCTCATGGAAGTACTCGAAGACTCGCTCGATTGACGACTTAATACTGTTTGACTAGAATTGGGTTCCGATGAAGCACTGGGAGTGTCCTCATCGATAGTACTCTTAGGGTTTGGATGTGTTTTTTCTGTCATTTTATCAATTCTTGGCGTTGCGGCCAAAGACACGTTCAGAGAATTCTCGTTTTGTTCACCAGTTGTGGTCGCAATCATCTCCTGTTTCTCTAAAGGGCTCGTGGGAGGGCTCGTCGTTGTTGGAGATGTCGGTGACGATAAACTGGAAGTGGAAGCCCCTGAAGACATGAACAATGATTTTGGTTTTCGCGTTAGAGTTGTCTTCTTATTTAGTGACTTCTGAACGGTTGAGAAATCTGTCGGTAAATTAGCCAAAGAGTGGAAAATATTTCGTTTTCTAATTATCGTATAAATAAGATTCGAGTTTCCGTCGAATTGGTATTGAATGATATTATTGAAGATCTCGAGTAAGAAAAACACCAAATGATGGTTCGTTTGGTTGGAAAACAAGAACCATTGGGTGGAGAAGGCTTCCAATAAATGCAATAATTTAGTGCTCGAAACCATTGACAATGTCTTGAGGTATGGGCTGACGTTGACAATAATGGTTAGCAAACAGTCAAAGAGCGGCTGAAGTCTTTGGTGTCCTGTTGTAATGATTTTGTGAAAGACAATAATGAGTAGATCGGCGTGAGATCCACTAAATATGGGTAAATCCATGGGAACGCTGGCAGAGTAGGGCTTATTGAGACGAACCCCGAAATTTCGTTCCCCACTCAACAGCAACAGAATGAAGACTCCGATGTGTATGAGACCTACCCGTGACTGATCAGCTCTGCTATCATTCAAATGGTAGAGAATGGGAACCAATACGTCCAGAACATCACTGCTCTTGAGAACATAGAACATAAACTTCTTGTTATAATCGCAAACCTTCCAGAAGAGAACCAGCAATTCCTGATGGAATTGAATCTTTTTGGTTGAGTTCGGAATATATGTCTGAATCAATGGATTGTTGAGGAGTCGTGTGAAGCCCTTCAATATAAAAGCAAAGTCTTCTTCGCGATGAATACGAGACAAGTAGTTAATGAAGAGATTGTCCTGAAGGAGGTCCTCTGCAGCGTTGCCGAAGTTGTGCGCATTGTCTGCACTGAAGTCATGATCTAATGTGACGATCAGAATCTGAAGAGCCATTTCGACAACAGCTTCTTTGGAGTCGTTGAACAACAAGTGATTGAATGGTAAATAACCGGTCGGATCGTAACTGAAGACAGTATTCAATAAAGAGGTAAAGAGTGGTAACGCGTGGCGATTCTCAACACATGTGAAGTATTGGATCCATCGGTTGGGGGTATGTCCGGCTTCGTTGGCCGTCATATACATGGATGTACTGAAACACGTCAACAGAAGTCTCAACAATTCACTCCTGTTTTTGTCATACATTGAAGAAGTGGTGATTGGATTCGTGAATCCGACGCCATTCTCCCAAATGTATTCACAACTGTCGATGGACTGCAAGTCTTCGGGCGGAGAGTCTGGAGCACCGAATTTACTGCCTTTTGATGGCAGAGGACTTACAGTGAAGTCGGGACAGAAGAGGAGATCACAAATGGCTAACAGCAAAGACTGGGCTAACGGGAGGTTCTCTTGTCTCACCTCTTGATGGTCTCCATGAGTGGCCACTGAAGCCGATGGAAGACTAGACCAGAAGAATCCCTTCCAATCGGGGTCTTCGAAGATGTAGGGAAGCACTCGAGTCAAGAGACGGACACTGTTTAAGACCATCTGTTGCTGAGCCGTCGTATTGCAGAGACTGTCCGTCGATTTGACCAGTTTTTCGACCGCTTTGTAGCAAAATGTGGCCAAATTTGAAGGCGACTCCTCCCGAAGCGCCCGGATCTCCGGCGCCGGGATCAACGCAAACACATCCTGTATGTTAGTCACGTTCTCACACCAGAACTGATCCCAGAAGTGGTCGTCTTTGGTGTCAATCGGTTGGCTTCTTGTGGTCAGCTCTACGATGGCTTTCCTGTAATTCAGTTTTGAATCCGTGGTTCCCATTCCTCACCAGATGTTGGACTAGATATCACTCAATACTATTTAATCGATTGAATCCGACTGTCGATTGAGTCAATGATGACAATTGAGTGCTATATTCAACTCAATTCAACATATGGTTTGCCATCAATTCATGTGATCTTTGCTTACAATCCGTGACTGTTTTCCAGTGATATGTCACACAATATGACAACACATACACCTCTACTGTACTGTATGTGATGCACACTCACGAGTCAATGCTGTATAACTCTAATGCTATTAATTTGAATGACTTTTAATAAATGGTTTCATTGAATAAGTTGTATCACATTTGTTTGAAAGTCTTAATTACACAATCATTTAATTATAATGTGGTTATAAACAGACAAATATGATTGGATCGCATCAATGGATCAGTGGTTGTGTTGTAATATTGAGAGCCCTTTAAAACAGTATTAATATTCAATAAAATAGTAACCATTAGTGACAACGAGAGCCACTCTATTAGTCTACTAATAGCCATACATTTCATCATTTGTTTGTCAATGCATTCACTTCATATGAATTGTGTATTATTTGAACGATTGTTTGGTTCACTGATTGTCTCAATTGGTTTGCATTGCATTTGACTTTCACTTTCACTGTATTCACAAACCTATTAATGTTTGACACAATGTTTGGTTTAAAGTTTGTGTTAAACGAAGATTTGTTTGAAACAAATGGCAGTTCCAGTGGTGATGAGGAAAGTTTGTTGAACTTCGGAAACAATGACTTGATTTGTTTGATTAAAGACCGAAGATTTGATGACTTGTTTGAAGGAAACGAATCCATAATTGGATGCATTGTTTGCAGAAGTGATCCAAAAGTGGAAATCAATTGTTCTTCAAATGCATTATTTGTTTGCATTAAACCATTGAGAAGTGATTCAAGTGTTGACCAAATGCTTAACCAAAGAGATGTCCATTCATTGGATCTTATTGTTAGCCAAAGATTTCTCACTCATTATAATCTTCCACTCAATCAAAACCATTTGTATCTGAAATTCATCGAAAAATGTCCCAAAATTACGAAATNGTCGTCTTTGGTGTCAATCGGTTGGCTTCTTGTGGTCAGCTCTACGATGGCTTTCCTGTAATTCAGTTTTGAATCCGTGGTTCCCATTCCTCACCAGATGTTGGACTAGATATCACTCAATACTATTCAATCGATTCAATCCGACTGTCGATTCAGTCAATGATCACAATTGAGTGCTATATTCAACTCAATTCAACATATGGTTTGCCATCAATTCATGTGATCCTTGCTTACAATCCGTGACTGTTTTCCAGTGATATGTCACACAATATGACAACACATACACCTCTACTGTACTGTATGTGATGTACACTCACGAGTCAATACTGTATACTCTAATGCTATTAATTTGAATGACTTTTCATAAATGGTTTCATTGAATAAGTTGTATCGCATTTGTTTGAAAGTCTTAATTACACAATCAGTTAATTATAATGTGGTTATAAACAGACAAATATGATTGGATCGCATCAATGGATCAGTGGTTGTAATATTGAGAGCCCTTTAAAAGACTATTCATTGAATGCTATTCAATAAAATAGTAACCATTAGTGACAACGAGAGCCACTCTATTAGTCTACTAATAGCCATACATTTCATCATTTGTTTGTCAATGCATTCAATTCATATGAATTGTGTATTATTTGAACGATTGTTTGGTTCACTGATTGTATCAATTGGTTTGCATTGCATTTGACTTTCACTTTCACTTGATTCACAAACCTATTAATGTTTGACACAATGTTTGGTTTAAAGTTTGTGTTAAACGAAGATTTGTTTGAAACAAATGGCAGTTCCAGTGGTGATGAGGAAAGTTTGTTGAACTTCGGCAACAATGACTTGATTTGTTTGATTAAAGACCGAAGATTTGATGACTTGTTTGAAGGAAACGAATCCATAATTGGATGCATTGTTTGCAGAAGTGATCCAAAAGTGGAAATCAATTGTTCTTCAAATGCATTATTTGTTTGCATTAAACCATTGAGAAGTGATTTAAGTGTTGACCAAATGCTTAACCAAAGAGATGTCCATTCATTGGATCTTATTGTTAGCCAAAGATTTCTCACTCATTATAATCTTCCACTCAATCAAAACCATTTGTATCTGAAATTCATCGAAAAATGTCCCAAAATTACGAAATTAACAGTTGGTGTGAAAAATAGAGATTTCTATGAAAGCATTAAAAGTGATGTTTGGTCTCAAAGACTATTGGATTTGGTGTCCAATAATGGAGTGAAGATATTGTGCCGAAAACACGACATATTCTGCGCTAACAATGAGTTAATTGTATTGAATTGTGAGCCTATTCTCCAGGGAGTGATTGGAGTGAACACTGAATTGATTTTCATTAATATCAGCGAAACTGTGAACCAAAGTAACGATTGTAATGATGTGACGATTACCGAGAACTCAGGCAAAGAGTTGGACAATAAGATAGTGAATGCCCTGAATCTGATGAACTTCACCACTCGATTGCTACTGAAGCCAACACTGAGTAACACGGGATCAAGCATTTCGGCAAACAGTGGACACAATAGCCTGACAGCCATCCAAACTCTGACGGCTTCGACCACTTTCCTCAACTCCATGTCAATTGCCTTTAGGGTTGTAATACTATCGAAGAATCCATTAATAGATGAAATTGATTGCGAAAATGGTTGTGTCTTTCTCTCAACAAATGCCTTAACAAATAAACTCAAGTCTCAACCTAAAGATTGGGTCCGAATATGGCTTTCATCGGGCGATAAGTCTTTGAAACAAAAGCAACGCTTTTCACAAGTCTTTGCAATTGACTTCATAAGCGACGATAATATTGCCTATATATCACCTCAACTGTGGTTTAATTTGCAGACACTTTCCTCAAATGAAATGACAAATCAGCCATTAATTCAAGAAAATGTTACACTTATGGTAAGCACTATTTTCTTATACAGTATTACATTAAAAGCAAGTTTTTTCCAACTATCAGTCGAGTCTTATCTTTATTTTGTATATTTTATTTGATTCGTTAGTAGTTTTATCAAATTGGTATTTTATTATTAATATCAATTATTAATAATTACAGTAACATTTGAATAGTAAAGTAAAACTCGTATTACCAATTTAGTAACTTGTTTACCCCACATTCTTACTTCCTTGTATTGCACTAACTTACCATAGCGTAGCATACTGTAGAAACAATTACAGTATTGTCTTGACAATAAATTAAATGTAACATACTGTAAAAGTGGTCAATTACTAACTAATGACTCAAATGTTTTCATGATTTTTAGATACGAAAAGACATTTTACTTAAAGAACAGATCAAATACTCGCCTCAGATACAAATATCTCTCATTCAATCTCCAGAATATTCTGCAACCCATGACTTCTCTTCTTAATGCCTTAACAAATAAACTCAAGTCTCAACCTAAAGATTGGGTCCGAATATGGCTTTCATCGGGCGATAAGTCTTTGAAACAAAAGCAACGCTTTTCACAAGTCTTTGCAATTGACTTCATAAGCGATGATAATATCGCCTATATATCACCTCAACTGTGGTTTAATTTGCAGACACTTTCCTCAAATGAAATCACAAATCAGCCATTAATTCAAGAAAATGTTACACTTATGGTAAGCACTATTTTCTTATACAGTATTACATTAAAAGCAAGTTTTTTCAACTATTAGCCGAGTCTTATATTTATTTTGTATATTTTATTTGATTCGTTAGTAGTTTTATCAAATTGGTATTTTATTACTAATATCAATTATTACTAATTACAATAACATTTGAATAGTAAAGTAAAACTCGTATTACCAATTTAGTAACTTTTTTACCCCACATTCTTACTTCCTTGTAGTGCACTAACTTACCATAGCATAGCATACTGTAGAAACAATTACAGTATTGTGTTGACAATAAATTAAATGTAACATACTGTAATACTGTACTGGTCAATTACTAACTAATGACTATTTACAAAAGTACTAAAAATCTATGCTTTTCTGTAAAATGAATTTCTTGTCTAGTTTATGAGCGGAGTCTATGTTTATAGAGAGTAAGTTAGAGGTCTTATAAGACGTTGGGTACTGAAGAGAAGAATATTAAAAAGTTATTTCAATAAAAAGCGATATATTGTGAAGAATGATGTGATTGGGATCTGGAGTCAAGACGACCCCTTTTATCACAACAAATCAAAAGGCGTATCCCATAACCAATGGCCAGTTATCTATTTTAGAGTTAATTCAATTGAAGGGAATGGATGTTTGATTGACTCGAATCATTCAAATTTATACCAAACCGGAAGCACTCACAGTCTTATTCCTGCAACTCTTGGGTCCTACTATCGGACAAATATAATGCAATTTGAGGACAATCCCATCCCTTTAGGCTTAGATTCTTATGTCAAATGTTTATGCGATTTAGTTATGCCTTATTTGATGCCAAAGCGAACATCCATTGGAATGGTTATGATTGAGGGGCCCATCGGTTCCGGAAAGAAGACAATTGTGAGAGCGATGTGTAAGAACTGGAATCTCCATCTCTATCACGTGAACACTAATGACATATTGGGTGATACGGGCGGACAAACGGAAACTAAGATGAGGGCCGCGCTCTCGAAAGCAATGGTGTATTCGCCGACTGTTGTCATGATTTCCAATATTAATATTCTGGCGAACAATGAGTTATTCGATGACTCGAGGATTGCAAAGATTTTCAGTCAAACAATGTTTGAAATGAATGACGCGAACAGTGAATATCCAATAGTAGTCATTGCAACCAATTCTGAACCAAAATTATTTGCTTGCAATGAATTGAACTCATTGTTCATTCACTCACTAGAAGTGGATGGTCTCGATGTGGAGGAAAGGGAGTCTATATTAAGATCACTTATGGGACAAATACCCACCAGTGATGTCCACTTCAAAGAATTGGCCCAAAAGAGCTCTACATTGAATTTGTCTGATTTAAAAGCTTTAGTCTTAAAAGCTCTCAAATATGCTTTCGAGTCATTTAATGATAACAATGACAACATAGATGCGAGTGATTTAACCCTATCAGGAGTGGTTGTGACCAATGATTATCTCGTGAGAGCTTTGAATGATTTGCAGAAAATGCATTCCGAAGCAATCGGTTCACCAAACATCCCAAATGTTAAATGGGAGGACATTGGAGGTCATGAAGCAATTAAATCGGAAATTTTAGATACAATACAATTACCCCTCGAATGTCCACAACTGATATCTCTTGGTTTCAAGCGCTCAGGAGTTCTTCTATACGGCCCGCCCGGCACTGGGAAGACACTGCTGGCCAAAGCAGCCGCCACTCAGTGTTCTCTTAACTTCTTGAGCGTTAAGGGACCGGAACTGATCAATATGTTTGTCGGACAAAGTGAAGAGAATGTCCGCAATATATTCTTGAGGGCCCAGAAGTGCGCGCCGTCTGTCATATTCTTTGATGAATTGGATTCATTGGCGCCAAACAGAGGCCATAGCGGAGACTCCGGTGGTGTTATGGATAGAGTGGTGTCTCAATTGTTGGCAGAAATGGATGGAATCAATAAATGTAATCAAGTGTTTGTGATCGGGGCCACAAACAGAGTGGACCTATTGGACAGCGCACTCCTTAGGCCCGGAAGGTTTGACCGTTTATTATATGTGGGAATCGCTGAGGACTCTGAATCAAGACTTAAGATATTAAAGGCTTTGACCCGAAAATTTAATTTCGAGAGTGATCTCGATTTGGAAGGGATTGAGAGGTTGTGTCCGTCCGGCCTGTCGGGCGCCGACTTGTACTCCATTTGTTCCAATGCTTTGATGAAAGCAATTGAGAGGAATATTCGACAATTGAATGACAAGACTCTGGCCGAAGAGGAATTAAGCGAAATTGTGGTACAAATGTCTGATTTCACGTCTGTTTTGCCCAAAACTTATGACAATTGATAATAAAGTTATTTGAATAATGATGTGAATTATATTGAAACTTTTATTCTTTATACAATTTTTTAAATTCAATAAATCAATTGAATTAATTTGACAATACTTTCAAAAATAACAACAAAACAATTGATAGAATAGTTTAATTACATAATAGAGAACTTTATTTATATTATATTTATATTTATATAAAACCAGATATAATGCATATCTCGAGAACATGTCTGGAATCGAGGTTTTGATCACTCAATACATTGAATAACTTCTTAATTCAATTCAACAATAATTGCTAATAACATAGGATTCGATAGTTTCGATGTTTTCAATACTAAAGCACTTCTTTGAATAAAAACTGTCTTTTTGTCCCTTTTTAATGGTTACCCAGAATACCGAATAATTATTGATTTTATACCGAATTTATTACATTTTGCTAATTATAGTAATTATTGAATATATTGAGAACATAACTGCAAAATATCTTAAAGTTTGCATTATTTGTGATTTAATTGTAACAATAAATCGGCTCTTCATTTAAGACTTTGGATTAAAACAAAGGAATGTTTAAAAGTTTGTTAAGTATTGTTTTGAAAACTTATGGTTTGATTATGTGATTGTGTGGAAGATTTAAACTCCAATTACAGTAGTTTATGGAATAAATTGTTGAATAGATTGGATTCATTGATCATTCATTGCTACCTGTAAATGAGTCAATTGAATCCACATTAAGTATATTTCAAATCATAATACTGTAAATATAGTTATAAGAAGTTATCATAAATTATGAATTCCCAGTATTTACAAACAAAAAGTTTAGGGTTTCAAGTTGATATTATCGTATTTTATAATATGCTTTTCATTAATTTAGTTTGAAAATATTTTGTTTTGATTAATAAATATAATATATTTAAAGTTAAAATATGTTCAAAAATGCTCAGAATTTGTCTCCAATAACAACACAATCAATCAGATTCTCACTCATATATAATCTTAAATTGTTTTCATATAATATATGTTTATATCAATAGTTAGCGAATGTATTACAAAATGAAGACAAATGAAGAGCCAATCATTAGTTCAGATAATACTGTCTTAGAGTCGGTTCCCCTCTTATAAACAGATCAAATCATTACAATTTGAATGACTTATGACTCGAAGAATATTTGAAAATAAATAAATTGTGAAAACTATATACCGATAAGAATTAGTGATAAATAATAATTAATAAACAAATTTCAATTAAAAACCCATTCATAAAAACAGAACAGAAGTAAAAATGATTGAAAATATTGTGAAAACAATGAAAAGAATTATATAACGATTAAAAGGATCGACTCATTGATGCGTGTAATGGATGGGGAGATGGAAGCGATGAGCGGATGTGCCGTTATTTGAGGAGTTTCTGCGCCCTTTCGTTAGCGCCTTGTATTCGGTTCTTATTAGACTCGGCCTTATCATTGATTCGACCCAACTGTTGGTTCTGAGAGCCGATCTCCTGTCCCATATCGATGGCCATATTCCTGAGGTTCCCGATCATAGTGGACACCTGTCCCATATTGTCCTCCATCTCGTCTTCGCGCGCGTCTTTGGTGATCCTTCCGATGTATTGCGTGGAGATAATGCCTCCACCGTTGCGCTCGTCCACCACACGAGCGGCGGGCTGTCCCGACACGACGCCATCGCCCGATGACTTCCAGGTGCCCGCGTCCTCCTTGAACTCGCTGGACTTACCGCACGGACAGACACAGATGCCGCAGCACTTCTCCATGCCCGTCAGGTTCTTCTCGGCCTCCTTCATGTCAGTGTTGATCTTATCCATGTCCTCCTCGATGCGGTCCAGTTGTTCGCCCTGTTCGTCGAGTGCCACGAGTGTCCGGATGCCCGCCTCCTTGGACTCATCGCAAAGAGCTAACATCCGTCGCGTCGACTCCAGCGAGTCATCGGTCGCCGAATTGGCCTTCATTTGCAACTCTTCCAGCTCTGTCAACGGCACCGCTGGCGCCCCATTCACCTCCTCGGCCACCACTGGTGGTGCAGGCATTGCGCTGAGCTTCACGGTATCGCGAGCTTTGATGACAAATGTGGTGATAATGTGGTTGTGGTTGTGGTCACAGTCTGTGTGTCTGTGTCTGTGACTCAATCCAATCACTCATTCATTTAACACAATCACTAATCAATGAAATGACGCTTCACTGCAGGTCTCCAACGCCTACAGCACTGCACTGCGCAACGCATACACATAGTATGACTACAGTATGTATGATATCGCATAGTATTAGACCCACTGCTCCACTGCTCACTCCTGTGCATCACTCACTCCCAGACACTGCAAACACCACTCATACACCCCTATATGTACTCATCACTACAATACAGTACTATAGCCCCAGTCAATGGGTACCACTGTATCACACAATTCACCAAATCTTATGAATTTGATTGAATGCAAGGGTCTATCGTTTACTGTATTTGCAACTTTTGTTGAACTAAGAAATTATTTGTCCATTCATTACAATTTCTCGAGCATTATCATTGCATACAATCTCACAAACAATCACTAAATAATCTACCCTTAATATACTGCGAATATTTTAATAATTAATCACATAATGAGTCAGCGCTAAGAGAGAGAGAGAGAGAGCGAGAGAGAGAGAGAGAGAGAGACAGAGAGCTGATTATGGTTAATTCTGTAGTAGTGATTTATTGAGTGCATTGTTACCAGCTAAATTAACAATGACTATTATATATTGTATGTGATAGATATGATTAAATATAGCGTATAATTAAACCCGTGACACATGTATGAAGTTGTGGTGCTTGTGATGCACTGCAGTCTCTGCACAAAGGGTTGTGTCTGTGATGAACCAAACTTTGAGATCACAAATCATTGGACTTTAAAACCATTAAAATGAGTGTTGAATAAAGAGATGAATTGAATAGAAATCATAAATTGATGGCTGAGTTGGTGTCTATTGGGAGAGATGTGGAGTGAGGGCTGATATGGGGGGCGATGGGGGCAGAGAGGGGGCCAATGGGGGAGCGTTTGTGTGGAGACGTGTTGAGTGAATGGGAACTCGATTTGCATTCAATTGTTTAGTGTTTCGTTCAATCATTTGAATTGCATTTGAGTTTTGCTTTTCATTTGAATAGCTATTCATTGATTGGTTGCAAATTGGGATCAATTTCATGACAACTGTGAACATGAGTGAAGCCAACGATGTGTCCAACAATGATAATCAAGTGACTTGTAATATGACCGCAGGTTTGCAGTAATGGATGAATGAGTTGATTGTGTGACTGAATTGATTGTCTCTTAGCCACGGAAGCAAATAACGATGAATTGATTTTAGCTCAAGAGAAACAGATCGAGAAGGAGATCGCAGACAAGACAGATCTGGTCGGACAGCGACTCGAGGTCTCGAAACTCGTGAACGAATATTCAGCCGACGATCACATCTATCGCCACAAGATTTTCGTAATGACTTGACTCACACTCCAAGACATTGTCTCACAATAACTAATGATTTTGACAAATGACAGGATTTGCAGAAGAGTTACGCCTTCATCCGGAAGACCAGACCCGACGGCAACTGCTTTTTCCGTGCGTTTAGTTTTGGATATTTTGAGTATTTATTGCGAGATCGACAAGAGTTGGACCGGTTTTGGCCAATCGCTCAGCAAAGTAAGGATAAGCTCGTGGAACAGGGCTTTCCTCAGTTCACTATCGAAGACTTCCACGAAGTGGTACAACACATGACACTATCTGCTGATCACTTCCGCATCACTTGATCTCATTGTTTGTTTGAATAGTTTATGGATATCTTAAAGAAAATAAGGGAAGGAATCAAAGTCGAGGAATTGGTTGAACTGTTCAACGAATCGGGAATTTCAGACTATTTAGTGGTTTACGTCCGACTCATCACTTCAGGACACCTTCAGAAAGAATCTGAGTTTTTCTCGAATTTCATTGAAGGCCACAGAACTGTCTCTGAGTTCTGTAAGCAAGAAGTGGAACCGATGTATAAAGAGAGCGATCACATCCATATCATCGCTTTGACCGCTGAGTTCAAAGTTGGCGTTCGTATCGTATATATGGTAACACATCGCTCACCACTCCTTACCATTCATTCGTCATATTATCAAATGTTTTGTACTATCATTTACAGGACAGAGGAGAGGGAGGAAAGGCTAACACTCATGACTTTGGCATAGAAGACGGCTCACCTGATGTGCCCAAAGTATTTCTACTCTACAGACCAGGTCTGCATTTGTCGGTATTGTTGTCTTGTCTTAAATCATGACTTTATATAACTTTCAGGTCATTACGATGTACTCTATCCAGTCAACTGAAACATTGGTTTCATGATTATAATTATTACTACTTTATTAATGATTTAATAATAAAATAATAATAATAATAAATTTTCTGCAAAACTCATCCAATTTTTAAAAATATTGTTTTTATTTTGAATTACATTTACAGCAAAATATTGATTATTTAATCTAAATTTTAATTTATACTAATCTGTTGTATAATATTGTGATTTAAACTTGACACAATTTGTCATAAATAAATGAATCGTTTTTTATGAAACAAATCTATATTACTATAAGATTATTAACAAATCTTATCAGTTACTTATTATTATGAATAGAATTTACTTACTGAGAAAATATATTTTTATTGAATTTCTTATAAGAATTCGAATCCGTCACTAACTTACTTCGCGCTCATCTGAACAGAATGTCGGATAAACATTCCAACTGTCCGGCGAGAAAACAGGAACGGCAGCAGAATTTGGCGTAATGAGGGTTATTGCAATACTTGGCCTTCACTATAATCTCACAATTGGCAAAATATTGGCTGTCCTCGCAATCTCCAGAGAGCGGTCCTAAACATTATAATTAAAAATTATTTTTCATATTCAATTCATATAAATATCAATTGGCACTCACTGTTACTGTTGACATTAATGGGAATGGTAGCCACCGCGTCCCTATAACTATTGGCTGCACGAGTGGACATCAAAGGGCTTAGCAATCGGCTATTCAATATATGTTAATCGCACAACAAACCATCATAGGCTATCACAGACAACAGACTGTGATTACCCTACAGTGACAACTTCTTGGTCCACTAACAGCAATGCCTCCCATTCACTATACATTCCAACTCAAGAGTCATTCCAACCGTATATTCTGAAGCACTCGATATAATCTGTACATTCAGTGGTGAATCTGAATTGGTTGTCAATTTTGGTGAATAAATAAAATTTAAAAATAAATATAAAAAGCATTACGTAATTTTACTAGATAAATATTATTACAAAAAGTATATTAGTAAAATTAATAAAACAGTTAATATTAGTAAATTAGTAAATCATTAGTCATACCATATCTATGATCAGGTAATATAGGTCTTAAGTTTGGATCAATTGGTTGAATGTTACCATTGAGTGTATAATTAGTTTGTTCTCTAATACTGGTTGAGTTAAACGAAGAGGAATCGTATGGTCTAATGTCAGGTTCGGATGAAGAAAAGTCAAGTAATAACATGACATCCCACAGAGCAATAGGTCCTAAACCATTGTACGCCTATTCAAAATGTTAATCAAGTCTAATTGCTATACAGTAATCTAGTGTATGCCTGACCCATACCTGACAGGTATAAATGCCTCCGTCCTTATCATCAACTTTTCTAATAAGTAAAGTAAAATTACTGAACTGTCGGTATTGAATGCTATTTAATGGTAACATTTGCTGTCCTCTCCACCTATTAGTATGATTTAAGTGTTATTCAGAGTTATGTTTGTTAGCATAAGAAATGGTTAATAATGTCAGACCAAGTGACTCGTGGATCAGGATTTCCAATAGCATTGCACTGTAAAAATGACGGCAACCCCAACTGTGCTATTACTATTTGAGGCCCGGGCAATATGCGTGCCGGTGCTAACACAGTTGCATAATATGAATTTAGTTGTTAAGTTGTTATGAATTTAGGGTTAATTAAATGTCAAAACTCTAAAACTGTACATACCGTTAATCGTAAGCTTAGTGTACATCATATTGACATTATCTGTGGTGCACTCATAAGTACCGGCGTCTTCGTTCTCCAAACTCTTGATACTAAGCGAACCATTTGGGAGGATCTGAACCCTTTCGTTAAGCAAATACAGGGGCTGTCCGTCTCTATTCCAAGACACTTGCGCCGATTGTGTCGGCAGAAAGCAATCAATGGTTACATCACTGCCAGGAGTGGCCAGCACTTCAGTTTGCGTTGAGTGGCCTCCCAACTGATTCGGGTCATAGTGTAAGCTCTTATTAGGAGTAATACCTTCGGCTAAGACACAGATATCAGCGCATCCATTGTTACAACACTTGTCGTCTCCACGACAGTCGGCGTCATTCCTGCACCGATCGACACAATCAGACGCTAACACATTAGAAGAGGATATATCTGGCGGACAGATTCCCGGCTTATTTCTTAGTCTGCAAACAGGTTGAGCTCTGGGTTCCCCTCTCTCAGCCCTATAGACTTCAACGGCACACGACTTGTCTTCGGGACATTGGAAAACATAACAGGGATTAGAGCACCGGCAGGCACTACAGCCTCTCTCGTCCACAAACTCATCGATACCGAAAGGACAGCGTTGGTCCTCGCAGTCAGACGGCGGACAGTCGTATGATTTGGTCGATGGTTTGATTTCAGTGGGAATGGGTGTCTGAATTGGAGAGATATGCGAACAGAATCTCATACATACTTCATATGTTTTGAACCGATTCTTATTGCCATTACAACCGCCGTAAACAAATGGAAGACAGTTATGGCTCTGGGGGTCATAAAACCAAAAGGCTTCGGTCTGACGACACGGCCCCGACTCCACATCCAAACGACACACAACTGTTTAACAGAAATCAAATTATAGGCACCAAGTTGTTCATGATAAATACTTAATCATTTTAAGCAATGTAGTTTACCTTCGCTGGAATCGTCAACTCCCGGACCTTCAATGGGTTTGGAAGTCTTGGCCAGACATCTATTTTCACATTCTTCTCTATTCTCAAAGCGATTCTCATTTCCAGCACATCCACCAAAAATGAATTGTTTGCACGCATTGTCTTCTCGTGAGTAATGCCATCGCGGAAAGTATCCCTTACAGACACCCGCCTCATGCGGCAGGTCACAGATGTTAGCAGTAGGGGCTGTCACAGAGCTCGGGTATGGACCTCTGTTTTGACATTGAGTTTCACACATCTCTTTACTGTTATATCGATTAGCATTTCCATGACATCCACTAAATAAGAATTCCAGACATTCATTGGCGTTGACGTCGAAATACCATTGAGTGAATCGTCCGGAACACGAACCGACCACTTTAGATCTGAAATCACACCACCATATGACTAAATGGGTTATATTACTTATTTCTTACTAATTATTCTATCAAATAAAATTAGAAAAAATGTGTACACGAACAATTAGTACACGGACTTTTGAAAGTTCTATAACTTTTGCTAAAATAATTAATTTATAGTTAAAATGATAGATCAATTTGATTCATACAGTCTGCAAATGTCTTGAGAGTTCCAACACTTGGCCTCACAATCGCTTCGAGATGTGAACCTATTTTCATTGCCATCACATCCCCCATAGAGAAACTCTTTGCACACACCGTCTGTCCTGTCATAGAACCATCGGATCTCGTTTTGAAAACAGGGACCGGAATCGTATGATTTGAAGCAGAACTCCGTTTTGAAGTGTTGGACAGAGAGTTCAGTTGAGACAACAGTAAAAGGGCCGCATCTTTGAGTGCACTCTTCAAATGAACCGAAATTATTTTCATTGCCTTTACAGCCAGAGTAGTAAAACCGATGACATCTCTTATCTTCGACATCATAATGCCAACGCTCTCTATAGTCATAGCAATTGCCGCTCTCTTTGGGCTGATGGCAGGCATTGCGGTCAGAGTGGACGTAAAGACACGACCGCTCGCACGCTGTCCTGTCGTCAAAACGATTGCCATTCCCTTCACAGCCTCCATAATAAAATCGTTCACATCGTCCGGATTTTGTATTGAAATACCATTGAATGATAGCTGCTCTACAGGGACCCTCTGCCCGGGGTAATGAGCACACGTTGTCGGCAATGGGCAACACTTTGGTTTGATTGCATTGTCTCTCGCAGGCGCTCTTATCTACAAATCGATTCCTATTGCCTTCGCATCCGCTGTACACGAATTCACGGCAAACACTATAAGTGCTATCGAAGTACCAGCGCGGGAATGACCCCAAACAGGGTCCCTCTGCCTTCGGGAAGCCACAGATTTCTTGCGGACTTTGAGAGCCACACGAGTTTCTACATTCCTCTTCTGATTGGAAGTTATTCTGATTACCTTTACAGCCGCCATAAGTGAATGGCAGACAACGATTCTCCTCTTTTCGGTAGTGCCAGCGCTCGTAGTTTCCACGACACGGACCTACAGGTTATCACATCATTACAACTCATTCACACGTTTTTAAATATCTTATATATTTGAATCAATATAGAGTCTATACGTACCAACTGATGGTGGCTGTTCACACCTGTCCAGAATGGTCTCCTGATGGACACACGTCTGTTCGCATATATCTTTGGTTTCATATCTATTGGTATTGCCGAGACATCCGCCGTAAACGAATTGTTCGCAACTTCTGGCTTCAGGATTGAAGTACCACAAGACATAGGAGCCATTGCAGGGACCGCTCACTTTGGGCAGAGCGCACCTCTCAGGCCCTTCTGGACTGACACACGAGCGCTCGCATTGCTCTTGAGATGAGAACCGATTGCCGTTACCTTCACAGCCCCCGTACCAGAACCTGTTACAGCCTCCATAGGCCACATCGAAATACCACTTGACTGTGAAGTTACGACACGAACCCCTCTCTTTGCTCAGACCACACACCTCTGACACTAGTTTCAAGTCCAGGGAAGGACCAGAAGGGCAGCCCTCAAACTTCGGCCCATAGGCTATAGTGACCCCATCGTGACAACAACCAAATGGTGTGTTAGCACAGGAACAGCCTTCAAACTTAGGTCCTGTCGCTGGAATGGTAGAGCCCGGACAACAGCCAAAACTGAGTGAATCGCACGGACAGCCGGCATAGTTGGGTCCTTTGGATATAGAAACCATATCTGGACAGCACCCGTGCATCGATGACTCACAACTACAGCCCTCATAATTAGCCCCAATGGCTGGGGTTACGCCTATAAATCATTTGATATACAAGTATTTGAATATAATATTTAATATAATATAATATAATATTTTTATTTATTAAAAACATGATTACATACCGTCACTACAACACCCGTAAAGCATACGACTGCATATACAGCCGTCAAAATCTGGTCCCCGAGCGGGTGTATACTTGTCTTGACAACAGCCGTTGGGAACTAAGGCGACAAAAGATGTTTAAATAAATAGTAAATCATTCTCTTAATATATAATTTTCAGCTTGTTCAATTCTGTTGATTCAATTCAATATATAATTATGTTGGTTATCCAAATACAACTAAATTCATAAAACTTCAAATATTAAAACTACTTACAGTCCTCACAGGTGCAGCCATAATACCTAGGTCCAGTGGCCGCCTTTTTTCCAGTGGGACAGCACCCGAATTCAGTTGCATTGCAATCGATCACATCTGTTGTGATTTCAGGGACACACGTGCTGTCCGTACAGTTAGTGATGTCTCCGCCAACAATCACATCTCCACTTCCCTCAGACTTTTGTCCTTCGCCTATGTCTGTGCCATCAGCACAGCCCTCACCCGATCCCTCTCCCGAGCCCTCGACGAGGGATTCGTCACATTCCTTAGTCTCGTGAATGGCCAGTACTTTAACGGGCACTTCGGTAGTTGTGGTTGTAGTCGGCTCCTCAGTTGTAGTCATTATTGTGGTAACTGTTGTGGTTTCGGGTATAGGTTGAGGGCATTCCTCAAAGGTAGTAGAGTTAGCAATTGATAAGCCGTCTGGACAGCACCCAAACCGTGTAAAATTGCACAAAACTTGACATCCCTTTAGGAAGGGTCCGAAAGCAGCGGTTTCTAAATCAGGACAACAGCCAAATTGAGTGGCATTACAACCATCTGTCATATTAATTGGCGGACATTCAGAATAGCCATCGCCAGCGGGAGTGAGACCATCGGGACAACAGCCAGACTTAGTGTCTTTACAGCCGCCAACACCAATCAACTGGTCGTCGTCGCACTCAAACGTATTGCAGTCCTCTTTCGTAAGCGGTTTGAGACTTGTGTCACAGCTTTCATCCAAAACTAATTCATCGCTTTGATTGAAACAAATCACTTTTCGTGACATTTGTCCGCCACTGCAGGGAACTGATCGATAAAACGACAAATATTTACGGATAATTAATATATAACAAATTATATTATAAAGACATACCGGTGCACATCTCGTAGGGCGCACTGAACCAAATTCCTTCGCAATCAGATAACCGACAAACAGAAACATTTTGGGGTCTTTCAGAAACACATTCACTATCGCTGTCGACGATCACCTCTGACTTATCGTTAAGATGTGCGCAAAAGACATGTCTAGTCTGTAATCCCTCTCCGCAATCAACGCTACAATTACTCCATTCAGAAGTGAACCAAAGAGGAGCACACGGGGGCTGTTCTGTACACAACTGACTCGTGGCTGGAGTTCGACTGATACCACAGGCCTCTGATGGGAATGCAGTTCCGCTTTCATCCGCACAAATGGCTTTCCGGGTCTGCACTTGAGGTCCGCATTGTTTATCACAAGACGTCCAGTCAGTGACAAACCATTCGACGCCATCGCACGGGATTTCATTGCATTCTTGTGTATGAATCGGCCGAAGAGTTGCCACACATTGGGATTCATTCACTGTCTCTCCTTTCAAAGTGCAGTTCACTTCACGGGTTTGAGTTCCGTTTCCACAGTTTGAGTCACACTATGAATAAAATATATCAGATGTAAGTGTTTTATAAATTATATCAAATCATAGTCACAAACCCGTTCCCAAACACCGGTCGTCCAAACGGGACATTCCGTCTCGCGAACGCATTTCTGTAGAGACGATGGTTTTGGTTGATTGAGTTGAAGACATTCAGTGTCCTCCAGAATACCACCGTTTGAGCTCTGAGTCGATGAGTGACAGTATACGTGCCGATACTGAACCTCGAAATGACACAAACAGTCTGTCCATTCGGCTACTTTCCAGGCGGCACAGGGATCAGCATTACAGGTCCTGTTATTATCAGGTCTCGTGAGTGAATCGCAAAGAGAGTCTGAGACCGGCAAGTGATCCATTACTCGGACGCAGTGGACATTTCGAGTTTGAATACCAGTGCCACACGTGCGGCTACATTGCGAGTAATCCGAGTAAATCCACGAATAGATGGAGTGTTGGACAGGGGTCTGGGCGTCAGCCGGAACTGTGAACTCGAAAAATAAGCCTTTATTTCGCTCCCTATATAACAAGACTATTACGAGTGGCTCTGTTAAGGGACCGACGGCTCGTAAACTTTCGGGCGCCTGTATTCCAAATGGTTTTCGTTTGGAATAGTAATGAAATGTAGTTCCCGCGAATACATAGGTTTTGGGAAACTGTATCCTCCAGTTCCCATTCAAATAATACTGTCCATTGATATTACGAACGGCTAAATAGTTATTAGTAGCAAATCGCTCCTCAATTCTGATATTATAAGCGCCGCTCGGGATCAATAGGATGTCATTATAGCCAACCCTTAACTTATCCAAATCAAAGACGCCCTCCACTCTTCGACACGTACTTCCATTGGGTGGTGTTTGAGGTGTTAATAGATGTCAACACAGCGTGGGTATCATGACAGTATATTTAATATACTAATCCTTATTTTAGACTTAATACTGATTTTTAGATTTTTGTAAAAGTATTGAAAGATTTCATTATTTAAGATAAAACCAAATAAATTACATTTTTAGGAACACAAACTTTTCTGTTGTATATAATTAGCAATGCTTAACACTATTTTTAAATTGTGCATACATTCAATGAATATTAAATATTTCTTTAAAACACACAGCTTTTGATTATTTAAGAAATAGTTTCGTTAATTCATTTAAATATAACCATTGCTTAATCAAAATGTATAGTTAAGTGAGAGGTATCTATTTATTTGTGTATAATTCATTAGAAATAATTTTCAAATTTGTTTTTCAAGTAATTAATTTAACAGACTAAATTGTTGTTTAAGCACTCATTACCGAATTCTATATTTAACAACAAATAAAATAAAAAACATTTACGAATTATCTCGAAATAAATCCGATCTTAACTGTACTAAAAAGATTTAAATTTAGTTTTCTGTTTAAAATACATATATTTATAAAACTAATAAATTTATGTAATTTATAAAAATAATTTTAATAAATCGGATGATATGTTTGTTTAGAATTTTAGAAAATGATTCATTTCCATAAGTTTTACAGTAATTTCCTTAAACATTTTGTATAAACATTTTGGCACAACTTTGTATGATATTATAGTCGTCAGTAAAGGACATTCCTCACCTCTGGCCCCATCCCTATCCCTAATTGTTATGTCTCTAACTGTTAAGTAATGTCTAAATGAAATGCCTTAACTGTTATACTTCTCATACAATCAATGGAAGATTATAAATTATAACAAAACCTTAACTGACTGAATATATTTTGTTTATAAGATTAAATATTATATAAACTTATAATATTTTGTGCAAATTATACGAAAAAATAGTTTGTGAGAAACAAAAATGAGTGGAAAGAAAGTGAAAATCGCCCGTTCCGAATACAGATTTCCGAAAATTCTTTATTGTTCTTGAGTTCGAAAACAAGTTTGTAACGAAGACTTTCTTTTTAAGAAAACATCTGTTGCGAATGGACTGAAAGCCTCCGAAAGTTTGTTAAGAATAAAATTAAAATATTCACAAAATGTACGAATAATTTACTACAAATGCTTGTATTATTCATAACTTCTAATTGAGATGTTATTAATTAATAGGAGAAGATGTGAGAAGAGTTGGAGAGTATTGGTGTTTAGGCGCACATACTTCCCACCGATCCTATGCTGCTACTGCAGTGTAAGCGCAACACATTTGGGCTCAAAGTTTTGGTGAACTAATGATTTTACTACTAAATGCATGGCTAAGAGTAGTGCAAAAATCTTCGCTCTATAGGCATCGACTCCCACTAAAAGAATATTGCAATTCTTAGGGGCGGTTTCAGACACCGGCCCTCACTCTCAGACTATTTTGTGAGACTAATCGTAAAAAGTAATCTTTACTATAACTATCAATAAATACTATGCGAGCAAGGCTTATGTCTAAAGGCTTTTAAGAAATAACAAGAACTCAAGCTTTTGTTCAAACATTGCTTCTGAAAGAAAAATTCTTTTGTAGACAACGCTTACCTGACTTTCGGAGGCTTTCAAACAATTAAACAAAATTAAAATATTCACAAAATGTACGAATAATTTACTACAAATGCTTGTAGTATTCATAACTTCTAATTAAGATGTTATTAATTAATAGGAGAAGATGTGAGAAGAGTTGGAGAGTATTTGGTGTTTAGGCGCACATACTTCCCACCGATCCTACGCTGTTCACTGCTGTGTAAGCGCAACACATTTGGGCTCAAAGTTTTGGTGAACTAATGATTTTACTACTAAATGCATGGCTAAGAGTAGTGCGAAAATCTTCGCTCTATAGGCATTGACTCCCACTAAAAGAATATTGCAATTCTTAGGGGCGGTTTCAGACACCGGCCCTCACTCTCAGACTATTTTGTGAGACTAATCGTAAAAAGTAATCTTTACTATAACTATCAATAAATACTATGCGCTTCCCGTGAATTGCAAACTTGTAGTCAAAGCTTTTTGTGTGAATCAGTAATTACTTGTCCACTCATATACACCATTAAAATATTTGCTCAAATAAATAATTATTAAAATAAAAAAATAATATAATCAGTAATAATTAATGGAAAATGATTTTTATTTTATTTCATATATTTTAATAAATCTTTTTAAATATTTTAGCAATGGTTGGATGCAAATCATTGCAATTTGATGAATAAATGGCAATATTTTATATATACAAATATATCATATCATATATCACAAGACCCGCCATAACATACCATAATATTATCATAAAATAATGTGCAAAACTCATGTCTTACTTATAGAAAACCAAATATATCTTAATTCAATTTTATGTCAAATATTCCCAAAATATCTAAAAATTAAATAAAAATAAGGTTTTGGTATAAAAATCGGAATAATAAATACATTTGGTTGACTCTAAATAATTACAACTCCAATCCATACAAAATTCATTTCCTAAATAATTTGTATAATAACTACACTTTCATAATACAGAAAACGCCAAAAAGGATAGAAACCATGTCTTAAGAAAAGTATCGCTCCATTGGTTTAAATCTCAATCCGAGAAAACTGAGTGGAAGTAGAGAGAAGTGCTTCAGAGTGTGGCCGCAATCCAACCGCTCTTAACCATAAAGTTGTAAATCTTTCGCCGCAACGATTTATCGATGTTTTCTAAACTCGATTTGCCTGAAGAGCTTGTCGTTCCCCTTTGGTTGTGATCCTAAAACAAATCCATACAAACATAAGCTTTTCATTTCAAACAGTTCAAGAATTTCAATAATTCCAGCTATTAGTGAGTCATTGAGTTACTAATGAATTACAAAAACCATTAATTGATTCAATCAATTGCTATATCCTGTAATACAGTCCTGTATTTGATGTGAAATTAGAGCAACAAAAACAATATATTTCCGATTTAATTGATTTCGATCACAACAAACACAATGTTTTCCCATTGATTTCATGAATACCCGGTATTAATGGTATTAATCAGTCGTTAAGATATTATATTTCTCCGAAGGAATTCATAACAATTGGTTAAATAAACACAGTTTTGAGACTAATTATTGGAAAACAAGTGACGGAATGGGATATGGTTTGAGTGGAGACACAATGGAGACAAACCTTAAGAATGAGAGTTTTCAAAGTGATGTATTGCGAGGGCCTTAACTTGACAGTAGAGCACAGCTTCTTCTCTCTGTCCGATAGTAGTCGACAGCCCGGAAGGGAAGAGACATCGAACTCATTCTTCTGGTTATTAACGAGTTTTGGGGCTAATTCTGACGACACTTTTGTGCCTTTTTTTGTGGTTTGAGAAACAGTTGAGTTTTGATCTTTTGTTGGTTCGCCTGTTTTGGTGGCCGTTCCTAACGATCGCTTGTGAACGGAGCCAATACTTGCGGCGGCGCTTGGAGTCTGAAAACTAAAGCATATAAACAATTCTGATATGAGTGGTGACAACAGCACATCACTAACCGATTTCTTTTTGTTTTCTTTGCGCTTTTGGCGCTTATTTCGGGCCGACTCGAAGCCAATCACTTCACTCCTGCGCTTCAATCCATTCTTCCGATATCTCATCAGTTCTTTGATCTTTGCCTTCAATTCTTTCTCGCGTTTCATGTTTTTAAATAACTCTCGACTTTCCTCTTCCGATTGAAATCTTATGAATGGTTTATATTTCTCTTCAAAAGCACTCTTCAAAGGGGATTCGCTTTCGCTTTCTTGGGATGAGCTCTGCTTTGAGTTCTTTTTGTTGAGACAATTGGCGTTCTTTTGAGGCGTTGAATGGTTTAGATCTTTGAATGAGTTGTGACTCTTGAAGAAATGGCTGACTAGTCCGTACTCCCGAGCGATCCCTTTCCTTTCAAACCTCTCTTTCAGTCTTTTCTGATACATCGAAACGTGGGCTAACTTTAAGCTAATCTCGAGGTCATCGTCTTCACTGTTATTCACCGAAAGGGTCGACACTAAGGACTCGCACTCGTTGTCGAACTCCCTCTCGAAGTCATCCCTTTTCGGCAAATACCCCAACGCGTCCTCGTCCTGACGACTCACTTCTGTGATGGCCGGCAGAGGAGTGGTGAGACCGGGAGAGAGGGGGCCGTCATTAGGACACGTGTGGTCGCGCATCGCCACCGAGGAATCCGTGTTCACCTGATTCCAGACGGCCCTCCCGATGCTGCCCAACACATAGTAACTACAGTAGTGTTCTTTGGCCTCATCGGACGTCACGTCTTTGAGACCGACACTGTCCGCAATGGCTGTCCAGTTACCGAACCCGTACTGCTCGATGGCCTCCAAGAGCGCGATCTCATCCAAAGCCCTCCACTTGTGGGTTGTGGTCAATATAGGAAACGTTCCGCAATCCTATCCATACAGACAGACAGAGAGAGAGAGAGAGAGAGAGAGAGAGAATACAATGAATGCAATTACTCGACAACCCCTCAATGGTGTAAATGGACTCACAATCAACTGATACGAGTGTCGACTCCTATGGGACCCGATCTCCGCTCCGCACGAAAAGCACTAAACAGTCAATACATCACACATTAGATCCATTGGACACTCTCTACACTATCTATGGTTAGGTCACACCTGCAGACAGAGGTCGAAGTCTTGGCATTCGTTGCATTTGACACGAATATCATTGATGTCTTCATCGCAATAATTACAGTGATATTTGCCTGAAGACAGACCCCGATTACATCACATCCATTGCACACACCTTTCCATACATACCGGCCATCCCTTCCCATCACTCCATCGCTTCCATTGCAGACAAATTTGAGCCAAAAATGACGATTAGATTCAATGATTAAAACATTTTTGAGTTTTGAGTCCACTTTTCATCCATTGTTTCAAACATGACATTAAGGGGTCGTTCACTCATTGCAGTCACACAAACACCTCATAGACCTCTCATTGGTCTCTAATTATCTTTTATTAATACAATAAATGCTATGAAATTAAACTAAAACTAAATCAATGACTAAATCAATGGCCAAACAATTGTATAAATTATGAAAACATTTCTATTTAAGTCATGTTTTGTTGAGTGGACTCGAGAGCGGGCGTAGGAGTGGTGTGAGTGATGTGTTGGGGCATCGGTTCAATCGCCGTCTTATAGACCTTAAGAGCTACTCCTTCGGGAAGATTGCGTTCGATGTACTCGAGGAGAGTGTCTGCTGTGGATCCGGTCATGTGTTTGAACTCAACGTTTCGGAAATAAGTCCTCATTTCGTACTGAACCCTATACTTCTTCTTCACGAATGCCGACCGAAGTATAGTTCGCCTATAGATGTAACGAAACGGTTCCCAACTGTCATCACAAATACAGACATATATTAACAATCACTCAAATATGGGCCCAAATTTAAGTCCTATTAAACATACGTCCGGCTGATAGTAACCCCCAAACCATTTGCAGTCAGTTTTACAAATGTTTCGTAACTGTTAAGCACTTCCCTGTCGGCACAGCGGGCCTCGATCTCTATCGTCTTGTAGAGCTTATCCGGTACTGTCGGCTCACTTGTGGTCACTTCCGATGACTTCTTAACCAATTTGCAAACCAATAGATCAGTCATTTATCAATTAAATCAATAATCGCTTTAATAAATACCGATTGGTTAGTGGCATCACTTGAATTGGTGGCCAAACTGGACAATAACCGACTCAAACATGTGTTCGTTTGAGACCAAGACATGAATGATTTGATGGCATATTGTCTTTGAATGAAATGATGACAATTCATAGCAATTAGTCGATTATACAGACAAATCAAATGCTTTACGAAATGAATTCAAACTTTCAAAACACAATTAGAGTCTCAATAATAACGTTATGTTTGCCGAAGAATGAGTGGTCATTCAAGTGATATAAATGAAGACAAATATTAATTTAAGATTTAATTTCAATCAAATATCAATTGTTTCAATGAATGCGTCGATTATTGTCTCGAAATAGTTGGACACAGAAGTAGTAGTGAAGAGATGAGAGACGAAGAGTTGTGCCGTAATTGATGACCGATTTGTCACGACTTGAGACCAGATTTGAAACGACAATCAAAAGTCGTTTGGTTTGAGTGTTGCTGTCATTTAGTGGCAATTTATCGTTGGATCCATTCATTGATAATCCGGTGGTCGACTGATTGGTGGAAAACATGGATCGCATACATCGGCCCGACTCGAGGCCATGGATTTTGGCCGGAAGTGTCAAAATTGAAGATTTGGTCGAAACGTGGGCTCAAAACCAAGTGATGACTGAACTGAATGTCAACGAAACCAATTTGAAAGACATCATCAAAAACGAGCTCCAGATCGACGACAAGATGTTGTCTCTACTGGAGAAGGACTGTCTGCCATCCAATCTGGACTGTGAGGGCGATGACGAGGAACTGTATGTGGCGTACGAGAAGACGGTGGAGATCCCATCTAATGTGACATTAGAGACACTGCGGCTCCAGAAGCAGCACATCGAGAGATATGCCACCGATCGGTGCTATCGGACCGCATGTCTGCAGTCTTTGCGATACAGAAACCAACTGATCAGAGTTGACAAGAATGTGGATTTGGAGGGTATTGTCATTATTGTCTTACCACTAGTGATACTGTAAGCAAAGGGTACTAAAAATGGTCTCTTAAACAGTGGACTCGATTGCAACGATTGAAAGACCGGTGGCAGTGCTGACGGTTCAGCTCTACCGACCGATCCGTTTCAGTACACACTTCGGTAATACTCATCGCTATTCGTTTGTTTGCGATCAGGAATTGGAAGTCCTGTCCACACAATGGTTGACTGAATTGCGGGACACTTTCACATGTGTTTCCGACATATCCAACGCCAGTGACTGCAGCGCTAACCCGAAGTCTGCATTGAGTCAAACGGCAGCCGATGTCTACAAATCTGGTCTATTCTTCATTAACAACATATTCTATAACGATATGAGAAATCAATTGAATCGGGATTACAGCGAGTATTGAATGAATTGTCTTTCATTTGAAATAATGTTTTATTGATTGGATTTGTATTGAATGACTCGATTGAAGGCCAATCGTGGAGTGGGCGCGCAGTCCAGAGCGAGGGATCGGTCCCTTCAAGACTAGTCGTATGGATGAGACAAAGTTTAGTGATTTGGAGATCCAATTGGGTTATCCCTATCTATACCAACATCAGGGCGATTGCGAACACATTCTCGTATTCAGTGATATACGTCTTCTGAAGCCAAGCGTCGATAGTATGGATTCCAATGATTACCCGAAGATCGTGAGCACCAATCGTCGGACGCAAGTGCGGTGTGGGATGTGTAACCTGAATACCGCAAAATGGATCACTTTCGAGAACCAACGCTTGCCAGAGAATCCATTCTTCTTCTGTGAGACCTGTTTTTATTCATTCAATTACGACAAAGACGACAATAAAGTGAATTCTTTCAAAGCTTATCCATATCTCGACAAATCGGCTCTTTTGTGAGCTCTTCACCAAAATATTCATTCAAATCCATTCTGTTGACCGGTATTTCATAAAGTGATAAATTTTTAATAAATAAAATATTCAAATCAAATTTAAGAAATACATTACTTTTTCATTTATAATCTTTTTATCAGTTAAAACAAAAGTATAATTTATGAATATCTGGTTAAAACTTCATTTGAAATTATTATTACAGTAAGTTATATTCGTTTGACTTTTCCTAATGTTAGAAATTGTGTACATTTTTTACAGTATTTTTAAAATTTGTTAACAAATTGTCAATTATTACCAACTCTTAAGTGTTCATTAAGTCTCATCAATACTACAGACAGAGAGGCGACTAATTAAACATAACTATTATAACAGAATGTTTCGATAAATTTGTGACAAAAAACATTCATTCGTTTTCTATAAAAGCTTTTTTAAATTACAAAATACAAGAATTTGTTTCAATTGTTTTGTAGAGATTTGTAGTTTATTTAATTGAATATAAATTGTTTGAAATCTCATTAATAAACACTAATTGATAATAAAGATTATGTTTGTGTTTGTGGCGACACGTGTTCTAACTGTTGATGACACCGATTGCAGACACGAACCGGTTTGATGTAACCGTAACGGACTAATGGCATGAAATTGTTGGAACAGTTGTTGCAATAGATTTGTCCGCAATTCCTGCAGTGATGTCGTCTCCTAATGATTGTGAACTGAGAGCAACATTGGGTGCAAACGGACACGAGTTCGTCCGGAACCCAAATGGGAGGCAAAAGCACTGGTTGTGACTCTTCTCGCAAATATGTCGTGTTTTGTGTCAAATCCTCGGAACCTATACTCTCTGTTTGTGGTGAATAGTCATCACTTAATTGACTTATCAATGAGTTCTCATTTGTAAAAGTAGTTGATCTGGAGATGAGTCCATTCAAGTCGTCACTTAAGTCTTCGTTTGTGTTCATTATATGAGCGCCGGAATCGATAGCATTAATGTCAGCCAATTCTAAGTACTCCTTCGCTTCGACCGCTTCCTCGACACTGATGTCATCCTCGTCTGGAGAGCGGTTCAACTCAAACACATTCCGTAATATATTCCTTAAATCGCTCGCATAGTTCGACTGCAACTGATCCGCAATTCCTATCAAAAACAATACAAATGCTCAACAAATATACAAACAACTAACCGATTGATACAAACCAGCGATTGTGACAAATAGTTTGTGTAATAATAATCTGGTTTGCGATGGAATATATTGGGAATTCTTAGCGTCGATTGCTGTCATATTTATAGAGTAAATGAATCGTCAGTTATAGAAATAATTGAAAAACTGTCATCAAAATGGATAATTAAGTGATGGACTCAAACCTAATGCGATCTCAAACGAGTCAACAGAAGCTGTTGTAGTTGTTGTCGATTCAACTGAAGTGACACTAAGATTGTCCTCAAAATTATTGGATTGATTGCCGGGAGGAGTGTTTGCCGAAGCAGTCAGTGACAGAGTAGACACTGATTTGGCTTTACTCTCAGAATTTGCAGACATTTGTTGGATTCTGTTTTCGGGAACAGAATTACTTCTTTTCCTATGAGTCGATACGTTTTGCAGCGAAACCCTATCGTAGGAATTGGATGCTATACTCTCCTCATTGGTCAACAGTTTCTCTAAGACTTCCACTTCTATTCGCCGCAAAACGAGCAAAAGATCGCGTATTTTCAGAAGTAAACTAATGTTAAAACAAATCATTAGTTCCTCTAAAAGCAAACCATTAATAAAACAAATACTTGTGAAATGGTTTAAAGAGGTTTGAGAGTTGATCCCTTGACTTCTTACAAATAGCGGATCCATTTCCCATTAAGAGTCCGGTGATAATCGCCAGTCTGGGTATTGTTATCATAGCCTTTGGCTGACAGTCATCGATGTCGTCTTGAGAAATGAGACCCCTTTTGAGTGCTTCTCGAAGTGTTTCACTGAACAGAACAATCACTTCCTGTTGTTTTTCGATCTCTTCGGCACTCTTAATGGGAAGCATTGACTTCACGTATTCGTATTCAAACGATGAGAACAATTGGTCGAAGTGCTCGAGTTTGACCACCATTTCAAATGATAAGTTCCCTCTGAATGGTCAACACAAATACAATTACCATCACTTCTCATGAATGCCATTCATTTACAATACCTCTCGTCTAAGTCATTACAACAGTTCCTTAAATCGAGTCTTAACTGATCCAAAGTAGTGGTCAGTGACTTAGCCATTGGTCTCAATAGAGCTGATTCGCTCTCGTGGTTCATTATGTTGGAACCGGCGGCCAGACATTCAGCACCAAACCATATCTGTCCGTTCAGTGATTCCGCCCCTTCGCCCGTCAGTAAGTCATCTAAACATACAATCCATTGCTAATCAGACTTATGCTAACCATTCAACAGTGACGTACACTCATGAGTGTCTATTAATGTAGAACTCATTAATAATGAATTCAATATAAGATACTAAATGGCATTCAACTACTAATTCATTATAACAACAAACATGTGATAAAAATAAGACAATAAGACACGGAAGCAATGAAAGCCAATACAAGAGACTTTCAGTGATATAATGAAAGAGATGTGAGACCTGGGAATTTGATCCGATAGTCTCTTGAGGTGCGAACGCAATGCCATTCATCCATGAGTTTGAAGATATAAGTGATGACCTTATCTTGAGCTGACCTGTTGTGGTGACAAACACAGTGAGTGAGCGACACATAGTTCAGCAATGGCTTCACAACAAGACCTCAATTGGTTGACGAGATGAGTGCAACGGATGGGGTCTTTGCGACCGTCAAAGCTGTCCAATTGGGTGGCGATTGCGTTGAGCTCTTCGTCCGCATACAAGAAGTCGAGGAGAGTATTGTTGGCCAAACACATCCGCGACACTCCCGATGACTGCGACAGCATTCGCGACACAAACCACTTGCGTATTGACAACATTATGACCAATGAGTGGACAATCACTGGTGACGATCAACTGGTCATTCAAAGGACTCAATGGACGCACTGTTAGTCCATCCGATGGATGTATCAAACGATGTCTTCAATGGTCTCTTAATACGCAAACCAATGATTGTCTCTCTTTTGCGTCATTTGTGACACACTTTACACACAAACAGTTGTCTTATGTTTTGATTGCAAAACAAAACACAAAACAAATGCCAATTCAATGGCAATCACTTCAACAGTCACTCCAATACTCACATCGATTGCAGCGCTCTCTCTGTGACCACACATTCAGCACTCAATGCATTCAATGAGTGTTGCATTCAATTTGAATCACTTCTTCATTTGATTCATTCAATTAAGTGATTATCAATTGATTTGTGAGCAGTAAGTGTCACCAAAATGTCTTCCAGTGATGACAAACTGTCTCAAGTGGTGGCCAATCACTACAACCAGTTGGAGGAGAAGGGTCTGAACGCCCGAAAGGAGAGTCGGATCTATTATTTGCGAAATTTTAATAATTGGATCAAAAGTGTGACCATCGGTGAGATCTGGTGAGACATCTGTCACAAGCCCACTGTTTAACCATTGATTACTTATAGCGGATATTATCAAAAGAATCAGAGATGACAAGGGATCCAACTGTGCCATCAATGTCCTGGACATTGGATGCGGTAAAGGAGGAGATCTTCTGAAGTACAAGAAGGCAAACATAACTCATCTGATATGTGCAGGTCTTGTATCGGTTCCACTCTCTAATAGTTAGAGTGTTATGTTTTTATGGTTTATTAATATACTATGTCTTGTGTGCAGACATTGCCGAGACATCTGTGAGACAATGCGAGGGCAGGTATAATGAGATGAAGACTAACAGACGACAACCCAATTATAACGAGAGCCCTATCTTTACGGCTGAATTCATAGCCGCCGACTGTACGCGAGAAGTGCTGAAAGACAAATACAAACAGCGAGACATCGATTTGGTTTCCATTCAGTTCTCATTTCATTACTGCTTTGAAAGTCTGTCCCAAACGAGGCGAATGATAGAGAATGCCAGCCATAGTCTCAGAGACGGAGGAATATTCATCGGAACCACTACTGACTCGCAAGAGATAATCAAAAGATTACGCGCGAGTGGAACCAATAGTTTCGGAAACAGTGTTTATAACATTAAATTTGATGACAAATATATTGATTCAAACTATAAAATACCGATTTTTGGCGCTCAGTATGACTTCCATTTGGAAGGAGTGGTCGATTGTCCCGAATTTCTGGTCTATTTCCCTGTTTTTGAGGAGATTTGCAAAGAATTTGATTTAAAATTGGTTTATCGAAAAAATTTCGGCCAATTGTTCGATGAAAACAAAGACAAGAGAGAAAACACACAACTCATGAATATTATGGACGCACTGGAAGTCTATTCAAATCAAACCAAGAACTCATTAGTCGGCGACAGTGATAATGACTATAAACATGTGAAACAAGAATTTGAATCGAGATCTGATGACCAGAGAAGACAATTGGGAACTCTGTCTCAGTCTGAATGGGAAGTCATCTCTATTTATACGGCTTTTTGTTTCCGCAAAGAGGGCTCTCATAAGGAACCGACGAATAAAAGAGAGAAAACATAATTTTAATGAATTATTTAATTATTTTATATAAATGTTCATTTCTATTTTATCAAATTCTACATTATTTCATACCGTAATTATATGTTTATGTAATAACTGTACTTGATTACTTAAATATTTTATTTGATACTTTAAGAGTAATTTAAATGCCATTTCTATTAGAAATTTTCTATTATACTGTAAATTACATGAAACATACTATACAGTAGATTTATTAAATAATGGCATATTCTGGTACAAAACATGGTTAACTGTTTGTATACCGAGTAGAATAAAGAAATTTGATGCAAATTACAAACTATTTTGTGTGATTTATATGGCTTAAAGTAATGGTGACAAACAATTTAATTTATAATACTGTAAATTAAATATTCATTTAAAAGTACCGGTATAAGTTAGTTATTAATACGGCAAAATTCTGTTTGATTTTGTGGGTCTTATTTTTGCCCAACTGTTAGCTTCACTGCATGTTTTTCAAGTCGTGCAGTGAAGTTGTCGTCACAAACTCACTCACATTGAATGCCGTAATTACTGTGTGTTTGTGGAAACGTGTGTTTGTTTGTGACTTCCCTTTCCGGACAGACATTCACTGTTAAAGTACATCCAAAACATGAAGAAGGTTTGTATGGCTATTAGATCCAATAGATCCATGTCTTAGGTCTCATTAATATGCGTTTAGGTGACAAAGAAGGTTCGGGTGCGCAAAGTGGCGCCATTGCCATCACTGGTGGCCAACAAGTCGGCCAAAGACCCCAAGAAGATAGTCGACCCTCTGATCCAGAAAAAGGCGAAAAACTTTGCAATCGGTATATGAGTTGACTATGTCTTAGGTTGTGATCCATTATTTGATGCACTCGTTGTCCCAAAAGGTGGTGACATTCAGCCGAAGAGGGATTTGACGCGTTTCTTTCGATGGCCGCGATATATACGAGTCCAGAGACAGAGAGCCATCCTTTTGGAGAGACTGAAGATTCCGCCGACGATTAATCAGTTTAGGAGTGGTTTTCTGGACCGACAGACAGCGACCCAATTGTTCCGTCTGTTCGACAAATATCGTCCGGAATCCAAGAAAGCAAAGAGAGATCGACAGAAAAAAGAGGCCGAATCTAAGGCTTCTGGAAAAGAGTCGGCGCCCTCTAAGAGACCACCAGTTGTGCGATTCGGTCAGTCCTCTCACCATTTGATCGTTGAGTTTGATTTTAATGTCCATTGGTTTGCATTTAGGCGTCAATACAGTGACAACTCTTGTCGAGCAGAAAAAGGCTCAATTGGTTGCCATCGCCGCTGATGTGGAACCGATTGAATTAGTTCTTCATTTGCCGTCTTTGTGTCGCAAAATGGGAATCCCTTACTGTGTGGTCCGCGGCGGTCGCTCGAGACTGGGACACGTGACCAGAAGGAAGGGCTGTTCGGCGGTCGCCATAACATCGGTGGCGCCCGAAGACCGGCTCAGTTTGACTAAACTGGTAGAAGTGGTGCGAACCAACTTCAACGACCGCTTCGATGAGATCCGTCGCCAATGGGGCGGAGGAATACTGGGCGCCAAGTCGAGGGCCAAGATCACCAAACTCGAGAAGGCAAAGGCCAAGGAGTTGGGTCAGCTCCAGAGCACCGGCGCTGCCATCGCTTGATTTGTTTATTGATTTAATTTTGAAATAAATGCGTTTATAAATGGATTTGTGTGTCATTTGTGTGCTGTTGGATCAGTTGTCTTGAGTGCGGGATGTGTTGGTTAGCGGATGACAAGCACTGCGAGCGATGTGTGGCTCACGTGAGGCCGTAATGTATGGACGACTCCATAGAGAGTCAGTTGTGAATGGAATCCTGTATTCAACTAACGATCAGTTTGTATACGAATACCAAATAAGTCTTGAAAGCGATTATCAATCAATTGGTTTCACACTAATCATAGTCACCAGCAATTGATCCCTTGATTGCATTCACACACCACTCGCCTGTCCGCACAGTTGTCTCGTGTTTCACACATTTTATTCAAACCATTTCTCAACTCTTTTAGTGAATTTATATTTGATTTGAATTTTTATTTTATTTTACAAAATCTATTCAAACATTGATTTAATAGTCATTTGATTGAAGTCTGGTTTGCATTCAATTGAATCCATTGATAGACAACTGGAGTGTGAGTTGTATTGTTTGGTGATAATCGCAGCTAATAGACGATAATCGGTGGCAATCGGTGGTCAAAATGATGGATCCGAACATAGGATGGTTCCAAGAGGAGCATAAGGGGCCGGCGCTCGACCTCTGGAACAGCATTTGGATCAACTCTAACCCAACCATCGAGAGACAGCCCGAGTACATCCCATTCGGTGATGAGGCCACTGATGGCAACGTTAGCGCCAATCATATGTCGAGAATGAGTACCAATCAGTTGAATGCCATGAATGGCAAAGTGAGTGCAAACAAGAACCCCATCGTCAGCAACAGTCAGACCCAAAACAAGCGCTTCCGTCGCGACAACCCGGCCTCCACTTACCACTTGAATGAGAACCTGCATCTGGTCTCCAAATACATGGGGACGCCGTGGCGGCGACTCCGACAGCACTACGAGCCGGGAATCATTGGTTTGCACGAAGAGGTGGAAGACTTCTACAATTATATGAAACCCCGACCGGAAGAGCACTTCATGCGAGAAGATGTGGTGAAACGGATCTCTAAAGTGGTGAACGAGGTGTGGCCGCACGCGAAGGTGGACTACTTCGGCTCATTCAGGACTGGTCTCTATCTGCCCACGAGTGACATCGATATGGTTGTGGTCGGCAAATGGGAATCCATTCCTCTGTTCACTCTGGAGAAGAAACTGCTCGACTCAGGCATTGTCGACGAGACCACTATTAAAGTGCTCGACAAGGCCTCCGTTCCCATCATTAAGTTGACTGATCTCCAGACCAATGTCAGGGTTGACATCAGTTTCAATACGTCTAATGGTATCCGAAGCGCCAAACTTATCAAAGTATTTACCATTTGAATGAATACATGAATTATAGTCTAATTGTGTTGTCGTTTGTCTGATAGCACTACAAAAAGCAATTTCCAAATCTTCCCAAATTAGTGTTAGTATTGAAACAGTTTTTGCTCCAAAGAGATCTCAAAGAAGTGTTTACGGGAGGCATCAGTTCCTATTCACTGATCCTAATGGTCATCAGTTTCATTCAACTGCACCCCCGGCGCGAGGCACAGAACCCCAACACCAACTTAGGAGTACTTCTTCTGGTACTCACGAAAGCCAAACATTTCATTTGCCTGAACTTTCTAAACGGATTCCCATTTTAGGAGTTCTTTGAACTGTACGGACGACTATTCAACTACTATCGCGTCGGCATTCGTATCAAAGACGGCGGTTCTTACGTCTCCAAGACTGAGATCCAGAAGCAAATGGACCCCAATTACAGGCCATCTATTCTGTGCATTGAAGACCCCCTCAACCCCAGCAATGACATCGGGAAGAGCTCTTACGGCGCTATAATGGTTAAGCAGGCCTTTGAATACGCTTTCGATACACTGCATCAGGCGGTCGGCCCTCTCAGCGCGACCGTCGATCCCAACCAAAGCATTTTGGGTCGTATTATACGAGTGACGGACGAAGTGGTCGAATATCGCGAAGAGATCAGCAAAAAGTTTACGATTCCTAAGAAGAACTCAATCGCTTCCACCCATTCGGACGATCACTCGACCTCTTCCTCTGGTTTGGACTCCTCTGACGACTACAGCGATAATGTACTCCACTTTTGTCTCTCCAGTCACTCGCTTTGATTCTAATGTCTTGTCCTTTGATTTCCAGGAAACCGAAAGTCACGGCATTTATAAGCAAAACACGAATTCTTCGCGAAATTCTCCGACAAATACTCAAAGAAATTATTACAACAATAAGAGTCATCACTATTCGAACCAAACGACTGGCAATCAGTTCCGGAATACCAATAATAATAGAGATAATAGAGATTCAAAACCACAAAACTTTCTGCAAAATAGAAACACAAACTCATATCGATTTCAGGGCAGAAATTCTGGTCAAACGGCGCGCAAAAAGTATACCTTTCCTAACAATCGGAAGGATGGAAATTGACTCACATTTCTATTGATATAGTTTTTCGTAAATTTCATGTCTTTTTGATTCCAGTCTTAAAACTTATGCTTTTCTTAAAATTATATGTAAATAGATTTTAAACCACAATAAATGTATTAAAACACAACACTTTGAATCTGAATAATAATAAGTCATTAAAAATAAATTATATGAATATGAATACGATATTACAAAATAAAACAATTTGACAATTTGTAGCATTTATAAACGGCAATGTTTTCAATGTTTTGGGAGTTTTGAGGCCTAAAATCCCGGTGCTGTCTAAATGAGGCCGTCCCTGAAACCTCTCAAACTGTGAGGACAAGACGTGCAAACGTGAGACATACACCCCTCGAACTAACTATGATGTATACCTTGCGGGAAATGGATTATCTCTTGAACGGATAATTTAATCCACAACTAATCGGTTTTAAAAAATATAAATATGCCATATAAATTCACCATGATGACTGCGTAATTTGACTTACTTGTTAGCAAACGGGTGTTTTTTATTTAATTCACATTATAAATATATTTTTACCCGCATTTACGAAGTAAAAGTGTGGCTTATAACTTATAAGATGACTTTAGTTAAAAATGTAATGCAATACTTTTGCAGTCAAATTACGCAGCTATCATGATCAATTGATATGGCATAATGTATATTTTTAAAAACCGGTTGGGGATATAAAATTTATATTATAAATCCCTGAAGAGATTAATGATTAGATTATCCGTTCAAGAGATAATCTATTTCCCCCAAGGTAAATATAATAGTCTGTTATTAGATTAATGTACTGTAGTTCGAGGGGTATGGTAATCGATCATATGGTGATACAGTAAATAAAAGTTTGAACAACACTTGTGTTAGAGTTTGCATATCATAACTGACTTAAATTTTATTAGTAATTAATTTATTAATTTGAATACAAATTTAAGAATATAAACGACAAAAGGATTTGAGATAATATTGAGAACCGAATGAATGACTAATTATGTATAAAATCTTATATATTTGAATCGATTTTTGTGATAAAAAACGAAATCACAGATAAGTTTATGAAAAAGCAATCAATTATTGTCTTCGTCTGGCTTTGAGTTCTCGCAGCGCTTTCTTAGCGGCCGTGCATTTGGCGATCCGTTTGTTGCGTCCGACGCCATAAAACTTTCCGAAATCAAACACTTCGACACAAACGCGGATTTTTCGGCCAGAGATCAGATCGGGTTTTCTGCGCAACAAAACATGTGTTCATAAAAGGCAACAAAAGTGACATTTTATACAAATCGGACCCAAATTTGGCATTTTGTGGCTCCATTTCGAGCAGTTCCCGGATCGGAGACTTTGGAACGTGTGAACTGAAGTAGACTTTAATGGTATAGAAAGTGATTAAGAGTAAGACAATGTTTGACAAACACTTGTAATACAAACCGATCTCTGGTTTCATCATTTTGTAGTACACTTTCCAAACGGCATTCAAAGACATACCGCTGTCGAGGAATATGGCACCGGCAACTGACTCGAAGATATCACCTAAAGCTTTGGGAACTTCAATGTCTTCAGCGTTTTCAGTCTCTCCTTCACCGATGTATAGATTGAAGTCATTATTCCTGTCGTTGTTTTGTTCAAATTTGTTGACGAATGCCATCACAACTCGAAACAAATCAAATGAAAGCATTTTCAAATGTTTGTAAAACTTGTATTTGACGGACAGGGAGGCAAAGAAGGTGTTGTTCACAAGAGCTGATCGCAGATCAGTGAGTGTTCCCGGAGAGTGACACTCGGGGTCTTCATAGAGATAGCGAGTGATTAAATAGTCGAGGACTGCGTCGCCCAAGAACTCCAGCCTTTGATAACAATCGGTCACTTGATTCTCATAATAAGAGTTATGAGTGAAAGCCTGAACCAAATACGCCTTATCTCTGAACTCATAGCCCAGTTTGCGCTCAAATTCATCCAATTTATGGCCCAAATATAAATCATTCAATTGTTTCTGAGCTCTACTCACGTTCTCCTCTCCCGAGAAGTTGTCTTCAAAAGGTATAAGAAGTGGTGATTTAGGTGTTGGCAACCAATGCCAGATCGGGTCATCCAAGTCATCGTTATTCACATCTTGTTTGGGCATCACTTTTAGGTCCAACCATTTCATGAACAGTAGGGCCCCTCTCGGACCGCTTGATATGAGATAAGCGCCGATCAATGCCTCCACACAATCGGCAATACTTTTATCGGGAATCGAGTGTTGGGTCAACAGATTGTAGGGAACGCTGACACAGGTCTGGGCAGTCGTCCTCTTCTTACTGGTCTCCGGGTTCTGAGATTTGTTTGAAAGCAGTTTATCTCTGATCTGTTGCTCATTCAAACTGTTGAGTCCTTCAAGTTTTCCGATGTCATACACCGTCGCCTCGCTGTCGACATTCATTTCAATCAAAGCCTTCTCCAGTCCTTCCGGAATCTGTCGCACAAACCAGTTATAAGTCAAGATGTGAGCAAAATATCAATCAATACGGACCGCATAACAGGGCGCACACCAGTTGTCGTTTGGCTCGAATTTGGTGGCATTCATGAACTCTCCGACGCCTATCTTAGTGCCCAATCGATACAGATTTAAATTACTTATTTGACGGCTTCGTAAATATGAGAGGCGGCCCTCATGTATGCCGGGACACACACAATATAGGAAAGCCGTCACCGCATACCTAATGAGATTTTCTATTAAAACATATGTCTAAACGTTTGAATGAATTTACTTTAAGAAACTGTCGCCAACTGTTTCCAGTCTCTCCAGATTGATACCATCGCTCGCATTAGACATCGTCAGCGCCTGCAATATCATTGAAGGACTCGGACCTACTTTTGTCACATCCGACTTCAATGGATCGAAATTTTCTATAAATGGCTTCTTTGAGCGCTCATTCATATCACGATCCGGTAATAAGTCTCCAAAACTATTAAGAAATCAAATTTATTTTTTCTGTCAAATACTATATTAGACGGCAAACAAACCAAACGGAATCCATTGCAATGGCTTTGATATTCTTATCGTTCAACTTGTCATCGAATTCGTCTTCTTTATCACAATAAGAATCAATTTCTTGTCCGCTTTGGTCTTCACTTTCATCGTCCGAGAAATCAACTCTTTTATCGTTTTCTTCCACTAAATACTGGTTCAGGAGTTGCGAAAAATCTGAGGCTTGTTGTGAAGAACTCTCACCGGTTTGCGAGTTATCAACGGATTCTATTTTGTCAACTCTTTCGCCCACTTCTTGAGAGTTGTCCTCATTGTAGATATGTTTGTATAACTTATTGATTGCTTTTTCATTTACGTCTACATTCTGTTCAAAACTAGTGTCCGTATCGGCAAACAATTCATAGCGCAAAATGTCCGCCACTTTATTCTTTCCACTTCTGTTATAAGACGAGCCAACAGTTGCACTATTCATCGCATGGAGTTCCTCTCTTTCAAACTCCTCGTCGTCGTCGCTATACATGTCATCGAATTCTGTGGATCCGTCAAAACTATCGTAATCTTCGACCGGAAAGTTCGCCAAATCTTTAGTCAATCCCTCGATATTAAGATCATTAGAACTTGAGATGAATTCCAGTTCAGGAACAGCACACCCGATAGGAAAGACAGTCGTGGGTTCGTCGCACTCCCATTCGCGGCCAACAATAGGAACGGTAGCATTGAAAAGACTCGGAGATCCCACTCGAACTAAACGGCTATCATCTGAAGAGATATCGTGATCGTCCGTCAATTCTCTGATCTGAACGCCATTCTGTTGGTTATGAATACCATTCAAATCAAAATTCCTGCCACTTATTAGAGAAGAACTCAATCCATTTGGTCCGCCGATTATATTAATAGGAATGCCTGCAATCAAATCCATGTCTTCCTGTTCATCGATAAACTCATCAAAATCATCCACAAAGTCATCTGGAATGACATAATCCTCGGGATTGAATGTGTCGATAACCAGTTCGTCATTCAGTGTCTGCTCTTCCATCACATTGTCATTGATGTTGTTCTCAATGCTCGCAATTTTATTAGCGCTAAAATCCCACTCTTCTTGCGTCTCTTGAGTGGTCTGTTTGCATGGTTTGGATGCAACTAATTCTTTGCAATCACTATTCAAGCCATCGATTTGTTCATCAGAAGAGGGCACAAACCATCCGAAGTCAAGCGGAGGCCACGGCATGTCAGGAGTCGGTTCGATAACCCCAACACCGGTTTGTTTAACAATTTTCGTTCGCATCTGTTCTGCGACTAGAAGTGAGTTTAATCTAAACAAAAGGCACGGAAGACACACCGCTTTCCGCCATAAAGAGGCCGGAAAGGGATGAACGATACAGAGCTCGGGAACCAAAATCTGCTTTTGTTGCAAATTCTCGCGCTTTTCTTTCTTCGTCTTATCGGTACTCGAAGGCAATGAAACACCTCTTCTATTGACATAACGAGGCGTCAAGAGATTGAGTCGCGCGGAGGTGTGGTCCACATCGAGCAGTGGTTGAGTTTCATTCATAATATCGATCTTATATTTTCCCGAATAATACTTCTCGAAGGTCTCATAGCCCTCGTCAGGGAATGGACTCTTCGGAGTCAAGTTATAGCAGATCTCTGCGACATAGAAGAAGAACTGCGGCTTATCTTTTCGATACCACGGAATCACAACCGCGTCGTTGTATTTGTTGGCATCAAATGTGAAATCCTTTCGCTCCTCTATTGTCAAAGAGTCGGGCGGAAAGTCTTTATGTCTTTTGATTAATGACACGAAATCCCAATCAATGGTTTGACGACCGGAATCGTCGACAACATTAATGGGAACAACGAAATGATTGGAAACAGCCTTTTGTGTGTCAAACAAAAGCGGATATTTGATAAGTCGGAGGACATCAGAGAACGTAAACTTATGGAAGACTGAGAGCTCTTCTATTTGTTGAGCACTTAAGAAGATGTCGTCGCGAATCGGTTCCAACTTAACGGTCACTTCACCGGAACGCGTAAACACTGGGAAATCGCATATTAAGGGAACTCTATTTGTGGTCAAAATACCAAAATTACGAGTCGTTTCGGAGGGATCAGTGATCTTTCGGCCTCTCGTGTTCTGCTCTTCAGGTATGGGTTGAGTCAACTTCATTGAGAACTCATACAAATAGCACTTGACATGTGTATCGATCGGACAGTTCTTGAGAACGTCTGCAACTAATTTCGTATAGTATTGTCTCCTTTTAGTGGTTCCCGGACGCGCACCCTTCTCAGTGCGCTCCACCTCATCGTCGGGCGGCTCGAGTCCGAGCTCTTTGATGAAATCAATGGCTTCTTTGCCCATCGGAAGGAAGTTGTCGTCGAGTTCTTTCTTTTTATGCAGTATTTCGCACGCCTTAAGAGCCGCCGCTTTCTTCGCAGTCCTCTTGTTAGGCATCAAAACACTTCTTATTTCGTATCTAATCTGCGAATTGATAGGAAGTCTTAGTCGACAAATGTATCGACCGCTGGATTGTTCTTCAATTTTGTATTGAGGGGTGAGTTTAGTGAATGAATCGGATGGAAGTTTAAGACAATATCTGTTGATTATAGCAATGGCTGAGTTGAGACTGACTCGCGCCGACCCCTCCTCTTTGTTAGGCATATAAGGCTCCAACAGTTGGTCATCAAAACTCTCGTCAATTTCCATCTCAGTAGGAGTCGACCGGTTATGACAGCAATCATTGAGAATCTTTTCGGTCTTTTTATATTTATCCAAATTGTCGTGAATTCTGGTATAGAATTCATTCCTCTCGACAAATATGACATACCGGGCGCTCTCGGCTCTGGCCCTGCCTTTACTTTGAATGTATTCCCTGAAAGTCTTGGGCGGATCGTAACGAACCACAAGATTACAACGCGGCACATCCAGCCCTTCCTCGAGCACCGAAGTGGCCACCAATACATTGCATTCGTGGGAACGAAACTTCTTTAGCGACTCCTCTTGTTTTTTACTACTCATCAAACAGTTGCCGACTCCAGGCCTCCCTCCGTGGCCTAAAACAAAGTCCACTTTCAAGTGAGAAAAATCATTCGCTTCTAATTTTGCCAATTCTTTGAGCCAAAGACATAGGACTCGAGCCACAGATCGGCGTTCGGCGAACACTATTCCGCATAGATTTGACACATTGCTGGAAGTGCTGGAAGTGTTGTAACTCTTGAGCAGATCGGCTAAATCCATGAGTTTGGGTGAAGTGTATTGCAGTAGTCGTTGACTCCTATCCAAACCGGCCATCATTTCACTCAATTGCACATCGATTACGTTAAGAGCCGTCAGAACCGCTGACAAGAAGGCCGTGTAATGGGATTTAGAGGAGCGCCACATCTCGACGGTGTCGGACAGCTCTCGGATGTAGAGTCGGGACACCTTCTGTGCACACCAGACACCCATCGTCGCCAACACGAAGAGCGTGTCTTTAATCGATTTGCATAATGTCTTCACGTTTATGGTGTTCTTCTGCAGAGCGAGCGATTCGTAATCAATGTCTTCGAGGAAATTAATACACGAATCGGCGATAAACTTAAGAACTTTAATATTCTTCGAGACCGACATATTGAATGGCAAGTAATCAATGATCTGTTCGCTCGGTTTGGAACCGTATTTGTTGATTGTTCTCAAATCAGACGCCGTCTCACATGTGCTTCGAGTGGTTTCCTCCAACTTCTTGATCAGACTTTCGATCACTTGTGGCGAAGCATTGCTTGTTATGAGACTCGCAGACAATCCAAGAATTCTCGGCTGCTTTTCGAGAGGACACGTGTCGAACATCCGAAGAATCTCTCGGTAGGAGTGGTTTTTGACGGCCCGATGGACCTCATCCAACACCACGAGATTCACTTTAGACAACGCTATGAATCCGTGGTATAGTATCCGCTGAAATATGGCGTCAATCATAACGAAGACATCGTATTTGTCCCACTCTTGAGTCCACATCTCTTGATCCCAATTGTCATAACTGGAGCCACAATAGCGACCAACTCTGAGATCTGTATGCGTCTCAATGACTGACGCCTGTTGTGATACGAGTGGAACCAATGGCACCAAGAAGAAGGTCTTCTTGTTATCGTTGAGACATTGGGGCGACAGGTGTCTGATTAGCATCACTGCTATGAATGTCTTTCCGCCGCCGGTATTCAGACAAACGATTGTATTGCGAGACTTACAGACCTCATACAACTCGACCTGTGCTCAGGAGGAATGGCACCAATCAATGTGATATCATGTCAACGCAGGTGTCCATCAATGCATACCTGATAGGGTCGGGCGATGAAGTCTTTTGTCTCAATGGTCTCATTGCCTCTCATGTGGTGTCTTCTGCCCTGACTGTGGCTGTGATTGTGACCGACACTCATGTCTGCGTCCAATGCGACACTAATTCATGCGAAATGCTTGTGAAGAATGGTGTGAAGAATGGTGTGGACAATGGCTGACAACTGGATTCAATTGAATGACAAACTGATGAATCGTTCAATCGTTGAGTGCTTTCTATGTTTCACTCATTGATAGAGTCATTGAATGCAAACATAAAGTAATGACGAAATGACTGGTGTTTGGCGAAAACACTCAACACTCAACCCTATGGGCAACACATGTCTCACTCCACTCCCACAGCACTCTCACAACTGTCACGTGTTTTGTCCACAAATAAGTGTCACATTTATTTGCATTCAATTTACTGTCATTTAATTGCCACTAAACTAATTGTCTTTAACAATCAGGTTGAACACTGTTTTCCACACAAATATATGCTTTTCAATGACTAATAATTGTAGTGAAAGTGGAGTCGAGAGGAGTATCTGATTGTGTGAAGTGTTAGTGAATTAGCGCTCATTTCAATTGCTTCGCCAAACACTATTTGACGGATTGATTGCTTGTTGTAATGAATGCATAGTTTTCTAATCATTTGCTTCAATCAGTCATACATTAAATGTCATTAGATATGAACGACTCGTTTAAAGTGGTCTCCGATTATGTAATGTCTTCACTTTTATTGCCATCTCTTTCATACTAATTGTCACTGAAATGACAATCAAGTTAACTGTCATTTTGCTGTCAATTTAATATCTAAATTGTCTTCAATTAGATATCAATTCCGGAGAATATATATTACGTGAAGAACTTCATTGATGCCAATGAGGAGCGGTGTCTGATCGACAATGTGCTGAGCAGTCCGAAGCCCAAGTGGACGGTGCTGTCCAACCGGCGCCTCCAGAACTGGGGTGGACTGCCTCACCCCAAGGGAATGGTTAGGCAACAGTTGCCACAAGTGATGATCACTTCCATGACTAATTGCTTGAATGCATTCACTTATAATTGTTGTTGTGTTCAAGTGGTTGGAGAAGTATGCCTTGAAATTGTCACAAATGAATGCCTTCGGCGGTAATACAGCCAATCACGTGCTTATCAATGAGTACGCGAGTGGACAGGGAATTATGGTATGCATTACCAGAGTTGCCATCAATTATTGTCTCACTTTATATGCAATATTAGCCGCACGAAGACGGGCCCCTCTTCTACCCAACGGTGGCCACAATTAATACCGGTTCCCACACTCTCCTCGACTTCTACACCAAGAACTCCCAAACCGTTGAAGGAGACGCCGATCCGAACCCTCAAAGAATTCCAGTGTTTTCTATACTTTTAGAGCCACGAAGTCTTGTGATATCGCAAAGGGATGCCTACGAGTCATACCTTCACGGCATACGCGAAGTGAAAAGTGATGTGATAACCGACCGAATCGCTAACCTATACCTCTGTGACAGTCATGTGATCGGCGAAGAGCTCGAGAGAAGCACTCGATTCTCTTTCACCATAAGATTTGTGCCAAAAGTTGTTAAGAATTTATTATTTTTGAAATAAAAGTTTCGTTTTAAAAGTTTTGTTTTAAAAACTGTAACTAAAGCTATTTACTCAATGAACGTACGGATAGCACAATGAGGTAAGTGATTGCACCCATAGGTAGCGTGGCCGAGCGGTCTAAGGCGCTGGTTTTAGGCACCAGTCCGAAAGGGCGTGGGTTCGAATCCCACCGCTGCCATAATTTTTACACTACTTTTTTTAGGTATTCATACTATGAAGTGCGGTATAAAACTTTTATTTCAATTAGTTTTCGTATTGCATCCAAATATAAATGTGTTTTAATTATAAAAACGAGTCAATTTATTTTTGGGATAGAGATTACATTAAAATTGGGGCCAAAATAATTTATGTTGTATTTTATGATACATTTCTAAACAAAGATGAAGTTTTTAGTCAGAAAATACATGACAATCGGTTGGAGTACGCATATGATTAAAACCAAATATAGGCCATTTCGAGACTCACTGGGGACAGCCGTTTGGGAGTTTGTTTGCATCGCGATGTGAAGACTTCTCAACTGGTTGTCAATAAATACATTGGAATTAATTGGAAACAAGAAGTAAGACATAAATACCAGGAAAAAGCCGAGAGATAGAGTGCAATAGACAAACGTCACGTAATAACCAATTTTGTCGAAAGGCATGGACACCAACAGTAGGGCCACAATGCTATTGAAATGAATGATTAGTTGATTGTTTAGAGATAACGGCAATGAATACAAACCAAACGTATTTATATCCACCGAATGCTATCGAATGAAAGAATCCGAGAGAAGACGAGATATTCGAGAGATAGAGGGATAATAAGACGATCACCACTTCAATGATAAGCCACGCCATAGCAGTGGAGGCCTGGATGCCCAAGAGTTCCGGTGAAAATCGGTTCTGAATTCCTAATAAATATCCCGAAACCAGAATATATGTGACAAATGCCATCGTTGGGATGTAGAGGTCGGGAGAGTTGATGTCATCTCTCGGGGCCACCGGTTCGTTAGGGTTATAACGGGTCGACCAGTCCTTCGGTAATACATGAATTGAATGTCTAATCAATCATTTCATACAATGTATACCTTATGAGTGAACGGAAAGAATAAAAGCAATAACTTCTTCAACACATAAGACGTGTCGACAGCGAAGTAGTATTTGACCTGAAATTGAGTCAATGGTTAGATCTAAGGGTGACATCGGGTCACAGAAGCCATACATTACTGCCGACCCAACTCTTGCCTTTGGTCACGAGATTGTGTCCGTATTGGTCGAGAGCCGCGGCCGCCATCGGGTTTGACAGCAGTTGCTGTCCGGCCGTCAAAAGCAACTGTTGGTTGAAGAGATTGGAAGCGTTGGGCGGGTTCTGGCCATACATTTGCGGCGCAAAAGTGTTCGCACCACTCATATACGGGTCGTAAGTGTTTTGTGGTATAAACTGTTGAGCACTCGTGTCGTCAAAGAGTTGAGGGCCTGACGGGTCGTACGGCGAAGAGGGCGCGTAAAAGGGACCCGAATATGGCTGTGAACTCATGTCATAGCCATCGTATGAACCGTACGGATAGTTGTCTTGGTTTTGGTTTTGGCTCTGACTTTGCTGTCGCGACCGATGAGTTGTTCCTGAAAGTGGTCCACAACACCACACATTGGCATTCATTTGAGACAATCATTGCTAGTATTCATGGCTAATACCTGATGTGTAATCCATTTGTCACTTGAAGTCCGTTTTGAGTCCAATTTGTGTGCAATTCATACAAACGAGTGATTAATTGAAAGGCAATTCAATTGATAAACAAATGGTTACAACGAGTCATCACTTATGCAATCATATCATACACTCAAACCTCGTTAATATGTCTTTCATACAGACTATTATGCAAAGTATCGCTATTTGTTTCAATAGTTTTAGTTGATTACATGAATTGAATTCAATAATTATTAAGGCTTAATATTTTCAAATTAATATATTGCTATCATTTTACAAAATAAATATATAAAATTTAAAACATGATCAAGTGTATGGCAATAGACTAACAAGTTACTTGTTACAAGTATGACGGTTGTTTAAAAAATTGACCAAGCATAGATTTCATATTAGAACAGGTATCTTAAATTATTGTGTATGATATAATTAAAATTAATATTTATTTTTTAAATTTTATTTTTTTATTTCACTTTATTATTAATTTCTAAGCAAATATTTAAGAAAATTTTAATTATTCACAAAATACAATACTGTTTTAAAATATTAATCCAAAATTTGGACAAATTATTTATATTTTTAAAGCAATTAAATCAAATCCATTAACGTTAACATAACATATAAAATAACAAACAAGTATTAATACAAATCAAGTATAGAATACAACAAATTATTCACCAAATCTTAATCATGATATTATTGAGAAATGTGGACAATAAATAAATTTGTTATACAATATAATTTTATTGGATTCATTAGAAATGAAATTAACAAAACCTAAAATTGTAATTCATTAATGTGTTCAAATTAATAGATTAAGTGAATGAATACAATGAGATTATATGTAAAAAGAGAGCAAATAGTAACAAACAAACCAAGCATTCAATGGCTTTTAGTACCGGTAGTAAGAGTTAATTCTTTAGGGCATTCAAAGTATTGAATGCATCAAAATGTTTAATAATTAAAAGCTCTAAAAGTGATTCAAATTAATACTTTCATCCCATAGTGTTGTGAATACTGGTCACTGATGTTATAAGGCCTCGAGTGACATCTTCAGAGCCCTGTCCAGCATCTCTTCCTCAGTCGAGAATTGATTAATTGGTTTAGGAGTGGATTCAAGACTCATAGCTAAAGCCGTTTCCATTTGACGTCTCTCTGCCTCTGCATTGCTTTCAATACTCATTCGCAACACTTCTTCCAACTCTTTATCGTCTTCTTCGGTGAGGCTTTGGTTTCGTTCTTTCGATTTAGTCTTAGATTTATTAACTTCTGATAAAAGGCGCGGCTTTTCGTTTTGAGTGACAATCTGTTCCGCCAACACATTGTCTGCATTACAATTTGGAAGAATACCATTCACTATGAATATGGAATAGCCTTCCCTTTGGAGTTGCACTAAGAATAGGGAGAGGTATGTGTCGGATATGAGTTCCGGTCCCGTGAGCAGTGAGTTCAGGTTAAACCACTGGCGACCGATCTTTCGGATTGTAAACCAATGCTCTCTATAGTTACAGATGTATGCCTTCTGAAGACTATATCATCACCACATAAATCCATTTAATTATTAATTCCTATATTACTGTATCAAACACTTACGTGGGATCTGTTTGGGCGGACATTGAGATCTCATTCCTGGCACTAAATGGGATCAAATCGAGGGCCCAAACCCTGAGAGCGCTGGCGATCACTTGCACTGAGAAGAAGCCCGAGTCGTCCATATTGTCTGACGGAGACTATAAGACAATCAATGGTGACAATGAGACAATCAATGGTGAAAATGAGGACAATCAGTATATCGATAGTGACAAGTGTTGGCAGCAATACTTGAATGAATCGTTGGTATTCATCAGAGGTCTCCCCGCCCTCTGCCATGCGATGTCTCTCCTGTTCATCGATATCTTGTGCCAACTGAGCCAAGTCTACGGCCGTGAAGTACTCGCCCTGAAGTAAGGCATTCAGACAGTGCTGACCACACAGTGAGCCCTCTTGCTGTCCAACACATCCAATCATCAAATTAAATGTCCATTTCATTCACCACTCATTCAAATGATGGCAACTAAACAAATACAGTCATAACAATAAATACCTTTTCGTGAAATATAGTCTCCATTGGTGTCTATTATCGCTAATATTCAACAATTGGTTGTAATTTAAGACAATTAATAGTCAATATAATCAACTAAATAGAAATTAACATGTATTTCATGTGTAATGCAATTGAATGCAAGCTATGTCTGAATGCCTGAATGGGAGTCAATTTGACAGCATTGTTCAGGCTATGTCTCAATAGGCATACAAACACTCATTCATTGCATACGAACACACAAATTGCATTTTAAATCACCGCTCATTCACTGTTTGTCACATTTGTCATTATAAAGTGTATGAAGGGTGAAAAATGCCAACCAAAAGGTGACCCCCACTACCTGTCAAAAGGGGTAGACAGGGCTTGTCAGTGTAAATATGCATCATTCAATACTTATACAGTACTATCTATCTATTCTGTACTACAGATTCTGTAAGAATGGTACAATATACAGTACTGTAGGACCTACATTGTAGGTATAGTAGACTTTGCACTGATAGACAAGTTAGACAAGTATTGCATCAAAACTTTTTTGGTCAAATGCATTGCAATACTATAGTATAGCTTCACTGTTCAAATACCGTATTGCCATATTGATTACACCATGTACAATTACCGTACACCATGTACTTATGGTAATTATGATTATCGTGTAATGTATAGCATATGAAAAATAATTATTATGGAAACACTATTTGACTGATTTTTATTAATATCTCCATTTGAATACAACTAATCCATTAAAATAATTAATCAAACAATAAGTCTATAATTTACTTAATAACTACAAAATGATAGACATTTCAATCGGAAAGGAGTTCCTTATTGTGATGTTCATGGGATTGGTTGAGCCAACCGTTGCGTATAGTGGTGTCGCCGTAGAGGGCTGTGCGTCCCCTCCACGTCGAGTACCGGATTTGAACCAATCGTTCAAAATAGAAGCCGACGGAAGAGGCAGTCAAGACGAGTGCCATTCCCGACACGATTCGCTTCCACTGTTGAGTGAAGAGTGGCTGTCGGGAGTAGTACTTGAGTCCAGCCATCCTTTAGGTCCACACTTATTGATGTCTACACGAGTTTCTCGGCTTTCAATTGCTTCCACTTCTGAGTGTGACTGTAGTCCAGATAAATGCAGGTCAGCAGCAGTGGCGGCAGAGTTAGGATGAGTCGGTGTCTGTAGAGTTGCTTCGAAATAGTCTTCAAGAGTGTCTGCGGCTGAAACCACAGTCTGAATCCTCAGTGCGCTTAGAGAAAGACCCCTATTCATATTGTGTATAATTATCTCTTTACGTAAGTAATCAGCAGTTGTGTTAATATCGTGTTTTGGTAACTTACTTACTTACTTAGAATAGTCGATTGGAATGCAAGTGATTGAGAGACACGTCGAGTGAGACATTCAGACAATCGGTGACACCATATAAGCAGACAATGAGTTCGCAGTCAAACACATGTAAACGTAAATTGGATCCAACAGTGGAACAGATCAGTGACAGTGATGGCGAGACAACTGCCAAGAGGACCAAGACTTGCGTCATGAATGAGAAGAGTTCGCAAACAGTGGACAACGAGTTAGAGGACAAGGGTTTGCATCAAAACGATGACTATTCTGACGAGGAATATGAAGACCCGAAGTCAGACTCTGACCATAACTCAGACATTTCAGTCAAAGCGAAGACAATTGACGAACAATTAGTTCCCGAAAGCCATGGTTCGCGTCAATCATCGCAATCGGACTCAAAGAGCGATTCGAGTGAACGCTCGACGCAATCGATTCCCGAATGCCTTCAGAACTACCAAATAGTACCACAACTTTGGACTCCAGAGGAATGAATGGATATATGGCCACACATTGACTCATTCAATGATATTTTGTTGATAATATAAACTAATAGCAAATAATAGCATAACTCTTACCATTGACTCCGAGGATGTATTTGTGATAATTTGTATTATTTTTGTAATCAATGGTCGGAAGCGCTTCCTATCAGACAATACGTCAACCAATAAAAGGCGCCGCTTTTGACTCAATACAGGTGTCCGCAAGTGATTGAACGGATGGTAAGTGTGGATGTGTTTGCGGCAGAAGTGTGTGAGTGTGTGGTGCGAGTGATGGACAGTCATGGGATGGTGTGTCCACCCAATGGTGTGTCCACTGAGTGACCACTTGTCAGGTATAGCCGTATAGCGTATATGAGGAGTAGTGTTGAGT